CAATTTGGTTCTGAAATGCTTATGTCTTGACTTTTTTGAAGTAGGTCAGTTCCTTCACAGTGTGCAACCCATCATGCCCTAGCTCTTGAAAACACCAGTGTTCCCTTTCAGCAAAATTCCATTAGGCATATGGGGCAGATATTTTAAAACTTCCTTGTATTTTGCTAAAATCTTGTAATTCTTATAAAACCCAGCAGACAAGAAATACACAAATAGTAACTAATCCCATGTCAGAGACCCTCTTATGCCAGTTCCAAGAAGCTGCAGGAAAAAAAATACATACATGAACAAATAAATGGCTTTTTTAAAAAGCAGTCAATTCTTAGGAGTCTGTGCATTATGCAGCAAAAAAAATTAACATGATTGACCCATCATGGAAAGGGCTGAAAAGGTTTATCAGTGATGCACAGTTGCACAGGACATTATCTGAGCTAGCAATGCATGACCTAGTAACATTAGCAGAAGTTTACAAAGAACGGGAAAAAAATAAATCTGATTTTTGTTAGGTGAAGGGAGAAAAAGGGGAGAAGCTGAACATTAGGAACCATCTTTTCTTGAAATAGCCTAGGAACTCTCCATCTAGTCTCTGTTTCAAGAACAGCCTTTCAGCCAGTTTCATTGTACGGTATCAACTTTGCTTCACACCATCATATTTTTGGTAAGACATTCCCTTTCACCCCCCTCACTACAGCTCCATACTTGAAAAGCTGACTGTAGAAATCATGCTTCAAACAGAGGAATCACACCTGAGCACATGCTGCCTTTTCCCAAGTTAAACCACCACTGGCTCTGATCGTGCCTCGCTGATGTGAAGAGCCAGGGGAGTCTGGGCTACGGCAGCGCAGCCAGCGAGGACGTACACGATCCATACACCACGGTGCTTACACAGCTTGCACAGGCAAAAGTTTGCATCCAAAGAGATACAGAATCTGGAACATGAAGGTCTTGGCCATTTTTACTTATGGCTGCCATTAACTGCTGTAAAAGAGGTCTTGCTGGCAAACAGATGTAGGAATCTGCAAGTTTTGAATCCACCGCTACAATTTTTTTAAAAGTAAACTACTAAAAGTGAAGCACTGAAAAATGTGGAAGCTCACCCTAAGCAATTAATCATCAAAAACATAAGATAACCTCAGGTATGTTACAGTTACCTTCTTGCTCTTCCTCAAAAGAGAAAAACATTAAAAATCTGTTAAGTGTTCTTCCTTATCATGGGCCTGTAGAAACTAACACTAAAATAAACAAAAAAGCATTCAGAAACAAACAAAAACAAAGCATTCTGGTGAGTGAACAATATTCAGGGAGGCAATTTTGCATGCGTGGATTTTTGTAGAAGTCCACCACCTTCTTAGAAATTTGAGGGGAAGAAAAAAGAGGAAGAGAGGTAAATTCAACTTTATGATCCTCCAGCATAAGTATCTTGGTAAATTCCTCTTCATCAAAACTCTTTCAAAATTCCCCTTTTCTTTCAGATACCAATTTATAAACAGTTGTAAAATATTACAGAAATTGAGATTTTTCTGGCAAAGTACCAGTGATGTAGAGGTATTTTGTTATAAAACCAATTCCTACTGGAAAACAATTTCTCCACGTATTCTTTGAAAAACTACTAGTGCATTGGGTATGGAACTTGAATTAGAGAATTCAAAAGCATGATTTTGAAGGCAGATTTTATGAGTATTTCCTTATGAAGTATGTAAGACAGGCAGATGTCAAACAGTTCCACTAGTTCTAAATTTCCAGTTAAATTATTCTTGAAGATTTGACATCCCTCCCTGGTTTTTTTCTCCTTCTCATACTGCCAGAAACAGGGCCTGGAACAGTGAAAACCACGCATCTCTTAAAAGCTTAAAATAGCCTACAGCTGATTTAAACTTTTAAAAGTTCTTGATTTATTCAAGTAGCTTTACCCACTTCAAAAAACAAAATGCTTCCTGAATTTCCATTAATATGAGCATGAAAAGAACTGCCCCACAAAACACAGTAACTAAGCTACCGCATGACATGATTTTTACAGTTCCTAAAAGTACCAGTGACAAAGTAAATGCTTGTTAGAGACATGAATTTGCACTTTGAGACCTGTCACTGACACACATACCCAAGCAGGATGGAAGGGCTCTCACTTGAAGAAAAGTGAGAAATAAATTTGAAGTGTCAAAAAAGTTTCCTTTCAGTACATTAGACTTTGTCATCATTTATTTAATTAAAAAAAGGCACACATTTGGCAACACTACTGATTTGAGAAACCTTATGACTCGCAGAAACACTAAGAATAAACATCCAGCATGCTGTCTTCACAACACAGATAACCAGACTATTGTTCTTTCATTCTAAAAGGGCAAAAACATCATCAAAGTTCTTTACTGTGAAGGGCTTTTCCCACCCCAGTGACACATCTATAAACGTCTGTATGCCATACAACTTCAAACAATCCAACAACAAAAACAGTTTAATACAAAATAAAATTTCAGAAACAAAGAATCACCCTGTTACATTTAATACTCAGTCATCATCTTTAACCAAGAGACCGTCAATAAGCGTGACTCCAGGGTAACAGACCTGCAACAAAGCACGCTTCAGAAAGTTGTTTTATCCCAGACTGTCCAGTTGTTTTGAATGTACAGACATCTATTACCCATCAGTCTTCCCAGTGAAAACTTACTTCTCAGACTCTAGCCATAAAAAGGGCCAAGAGCAGAGTAAAACATCAAAAGGAAACCCATAACTGTTCATTCACAAATTTGAAGACAGCTTGCCCATTTGAAACTGTGGCATTACACTGACAATGGCCTCGGATGAAAACCAACAAAACGTTAAAATAAATAATGCATGAGGTGTTTTCTATGTTCTAACAACAGGTTTCAACTCTACACTTGACACATGCTACAGTTTAAAGGAGAAGAGAGACAGAACACACATGTACCTTGACACAATAAATGAAACAACCAACCAAAAAAGATCTGGGTTTTTTTTTGCAAATAACACTAAGATGCAGGAACTTATCTGCATTGCATGCATATTTTAACAAGTGCTCATGCATTTACTATTTCCATCAAAGCCTTTCTTCCCATCCATTAAAAAAAAAAGCACACTGAGAACAAGGCACAAAACCCACACATCTCTGACCAAAAACTTTACTGCATCCTATGTTGTTATAGATGGAGAAATCCGTACCATCAGAGAAAGCTGCGTCCTGATACACTGTACACCACTGACTGCTGGAAGAATTAATCATTCACAGATCAACAATTGGTTCTTTCATCTCCCTGGCTTTCTCAGATCACACCATTATGTATTTTTTTCCACCTACTGATTCTGTTACACTCCATTTTTCAGCTGCATGTAGCAAAGACATCTGAAAAACATTCCTATTTCTAGAACGTACCTCACTGAAAGAAACCAGTGAGGGTACCTATATGCTTCCATGGGATTCACAACTTTGCCAGTGTCAAGAAGTGACTGAACATTTAATTCTGCACTAATAACACAATGTAATAAGCTGTGAAAAAATGTGGAAGGCAAACCGAAGGGCATCAAAGTCCTACTTTCTGGCTTTCTACCAAAAGCAGTTCATGTGAACAAACCCATGAGATAGCTGACCTTTTAGCAAGTAAAGTTTTAGGACTAAATACTTCAGCTAATCAAAAACTAAATTACATGTATACATTAACTCAGCCCACATCTTTAAAATAAAGCTGTATTCTGGCCAGCCGAACAGCACCACATTCAGTCACGACTAAACCAACAGGAACACGGCTTTTTTAATATCTCTGCAGAGAAAGAGAGGGCAAGGCAGTATTCATGATTAGCACTGCGTCTCACCACGACAGTAAGGGAAGAAAAAGTCACTGCAAGAGAAGGTTGTCATGGGAAACATTTCTCCCACTTTCATCGCTGGCAGGGTTTGTCCTTAAAGCGCTCACCCCTGCAGAGGCCTGGCAGGTGACATCCCGGCAGGTGACGTGAGCTCGGCACAGACAGCCCTGCCAAGGGCGAGGGACGCTCCCCGGGGCCACAGCCGAGCCCCGGCTGTCCGAGCCCGCCGGGACTGCCCGTAATGTCACCTCACGGTACTCTGAAGGGCGAAGGGGCTCGGCAGCGCAGCCCCGGGGCTGCAGAACTGCACCCTGCCGGAGGATGCGGCGCGGTGCGAGGATGCTCCCGGCCCCCGCTCGAAGGGTCCCGCACAGCTCTCCCCGGGGACACGGGCAGCTCTGGAGGCGGAATGTACCGCGGCATGCCCTGCGCCCCGCGGGAGCGGGCACGGAGACCAGCGCGGAGCGCGGCGGCCAGAGGGACACGGCGCCGGGGCAGCGGGACCGGCCGGGCCGGCCCCGCCCGCGGGGGAGCGGCCGGGCAGAGCCGTGCCCGCCGCAGGGAGCGGAGGGGAAGGGAAGGGCTGCGGGGGCTGCCCGCCCGCGCTCACCGTCGATGTTCTCCCGGTCGCTGATGTGCTGCAGGTTGCAGCCCGTGTCCTCCCGGCTCAGCTCGGCCTCGGGGCGGTAGGACTCCAGCCGAGAGTGGGCATTCCGGCGCAGCTTGGGGCTGGAGGAGACGCAGCAGGACGTGGTGTTCCCCATCTTCTCTGCCCGGCCCCGGCCCGGCTCGGCTCGGGAGGAGGCGAGGGGCGGCCGGTCAGCGGCGGTGGCGGGAAGCCATGGGCGGCAGCGGCGACGAGAGGGAGCGGCGGCGGGGGAGGAGGCGGCGGCTGCGGCGCCCTGCGGCTGCACTCGCCGGCGGTTCCCCCCGGCGGCTCATCCGCGGAGGCGGCCCCGCAGCGCGGCCCGCCGGCGTGGGCTGCGGCAGCTAAGCCGCCCTCCTCCGCGGGCGGGCAGCGCGGGGCCCGCCGGGGCACAGCCCCATCCTCCCCCGCCCCCGCGCAGCCGCCGGGCCCGCTCCGCGCACGCACCCACGCGGCAGCGGCGCAGCCTCCGCGGCAGCGACACCGCAGCGGCAGCGGCAGCAGCAGCCGCCCCGGGCGGCCCCCGCCAACCGGTTCCGGTTCAAGCGGGCGGTGACGCCTCCCGCCGGGCGGGCTGCGGAGCGGCGGCGGAGCCCGGCTCGGCCGCGGGGCCGCCCCGGCAGCCACCGACGGAGCCCGCCCTGAGCCGCGGGGCTCCCGGCGCGCCGGTTCCCGGTTCCCGGCCCTCCTCAGCCGAGCGTCCCGGCGCCGGGCGCTCCCCTGGCCCGGGGCCCGGCCGGGCCGAGGCCGCTCCGCTGGCCCGGTGGCCCCTCGGTGTCCCCCGTCCGCGCCCGGACCCCGCGGGCCGCCCGGATCTAGGCCGGAGCCCGAGGCTGGCCGGGGACCCGCATCCAACCGGGGACAGTCACTGGTGTCCCTGAGATTTGCAGGCGCTGCACGGATTCTTTGAGAACTTGTTAAACTCTCCTGTGGACTGACCGTTCCAAAGATAACAGGCACGGGGAAATGAGAGGGTGTTAAGTGCCCCTTTGTAACACCTCCGCGTTTAGGGCTTTCCCAGTCAAAATCCACTTTTGCCCTATTCAAAGTAATGTTAAAGATGGGGATAGTGCATGGCTCTCATTAGTCTTTTTTTGTTGGTTTTGGTTTGTTGTTTTTTTTTTTTATTTAAATCTTTGTAATTAAGCAAGTCTCTTGACTGTTGGAGGTCTGAGTCATGGTAGCTGAATGGGTACACTGATAATTTGACAAGAGAAAAGCGCTTTTCTGTGTTTATAAAAGATGCTTTGACTTACAGCCCTGTGTCCAGGGAGCCATTACTTAATCTATCAGGCATCTCATGATATCTGATGTTTTCACAAGATCTGCTCGAGTCAGATGACTACATGAAAGACTTGTAAGTTTTTATCCTACTTTTTTTCAGATCACACATTGCAAAGAAAATAGTTTTTATTTTCAACTGCCTTTTGAATGTTTATTGATGGAAATGTACTCTAGTGGGATACAAAGAATCAAGAAGAAAGAAAAAGAATGTGAGGTTTTTACAAAATCAAACTGTTTTGGGGATATCTTCTGTAACTAGTTTTGTGACACTCCTCTCCCCAAACATGTATGGGCAGTAGATTTGGAGTTACGTTGTCCCTTCGTGTTTGAGTAACTCACAAATTAAGGCTAGGTTCGCATCTTTATTTTTTATTAGTGTATTCAGTAGTTTGCATCCAGATAAAAGGAAAATCTTTGCTGAGCTCTGGTTTAGAAATGCTGTCTCGGATGATGTCATGCTAACTAGTGCCTTCCACCAGTGCCTTCCACCACCATGTCATCACTCACTGAGGGCACCTCAGCCCCTCCACTGGAGCTCACCTGCTCTCCAGCTGAGCCTGAGCCTGCTCAGACCAGGCCTGACCTTCACCTGGCAGCAGGGTATGTTAAATCTCAAATGGGCATAAGCAACAATCAGAAAATCTCAACACAATTTTTAAAGAGGCAAATCATCTCAATATATATACAACAGAACAGTAAGATGTTACTGAAATACCTGGCTTACCACATCTTACAAGAGGACCTCAAGCTAGTGAGATCTCTGTGGAAGACTCATCTGACCTGCCCTGTTAAATTCCACCTTCCTGTTGGAGTCAGGGACACATTTATGCTCATTTGTGGCCTTTTCAACTCCATGTGTCACAACTTCATGTGTCACTACTCCTAGGGCACCAGTGCCATTGTCTTTTAGGTACTTTTTGGGTAATGCTAACTGTTGTCTTGCAGTATCAATCCCACTACATTTTTTCATAAACATTTCATACCCCTAATTATTTAGAAACTTGTAACAATTGTAAATCTACCGTAGCAAAATCTTAGACAAAACTTGCAGTTTATACTTACTCCAAATTTTTCATAAGCTTTGAAAAAAAACAGGCCACATAAAGATGGAGATCGGTTCATTACAAAGTTTGCTTCTCTAAATTTGTAAGTAGAGCTTAAGAAGACGTTTCCTTTGTTAGAAAGGATTGATTTAAACATTGTGTTTTATTTAAAACTAATATTATAAAACTAAACATTGTAATTGCTTTAATGTATTTAAAATTTGTGATCATTGGCTGTGACCACGTAATCACTAGATTTAATCACTAGCTGTGACTATGCGATCACTAGATAGATGCCCTTTAAGGTACCTTCCAACCCAAACCATTCTATATTCTATCCATAATTCTATTATTCTTTATAGCTACCTATTTCCTTACTTGCAGCCTTTCATCCTAAATTTTTACCTTTATTCCTCCTCTTTTCACTCTAGGAGCTTGCTGAAGTACATTATAATGACAAAGGTGCCACAATACATATTTCATATCAAAGAAAAGGGATGCTGCTCTAAGGTAATGGTATCCTGCTGGTATGTAAGAGCTGAGAACAGGTGAAATATATACCATGAAAACATATTTGAGGTTTGATTATGATTATTTTATTTCAGCTATCTGAAGTGCATGATGCAAATGTAACTGCATAATCTGATAAATATTCATACAGTAAAGCAGGTACAGCTCACTTTATCTTACTGACATGCTTAGAAATCAATGTATGTCCTTCTTTTATTAGAGATTATTCTGTTGTTGAGATTTATGGTTTATGTATTTTATTGGGTTTGCCTTCTGGAGCAACTGCATCAGCTGGGGAACACTGTAAAGCTCCCTAAACTAAGGCCAAGGCTTTCACAATTGGTCAGTGCTGACATACCTTTGTTAAAAAAGTGCCTATTCCTGCACAAAAAATATTTTAAATCTGTAGCATCTCCACTGTACAGAAGATACTCCACTACAGAAAAGACAATGGATTTTAATAGGCTAAAATTAATTATGTGACCCATTAAATTTTGTGATTGAAATCTTCCTGGAACATTGTCAAAAAATGTGTTTCAAACCAGCAGTTATTGGTCAGTATTTTGCTTACATAAGCTTTTTATCTATTTTGAGCAGATAAAAATTATAAAAAAATTATATGATTTGTGAAGCACAGGTTAAAAAAAAACCCCAAAAACAAACAAACAAAATAAAAACCCAAAAAAACCCAAAAAAAAAAAACCAAAAAACCACAACCCCAAACCCTTAAGATAGATGAGTGGTGATAAACAGATCTTTTGGTTCTGCTCATCTTTCAAATACAGCCTGAGAAATTCGTGTCACATAATACCTTCCCCACACCGCCATCTGATGTTTAGTTGGAGTTGTACTCGCAGTTTGAGTGTACAGCCACTCTAAAATGCCATAGTTTCAGTTTTCTCACAGAGCTAATAATTGTCTGGAATTTAAGCAAAAGCTTAAAATTAACATTCCCATGTACAAAGTGTTCAGCCTGATCAACTGAATCATACCCTAGACTTTGTTGATTGTAATAGCTAAAATTTTTGATGATAGTAATAAATTCCAAATCAGTTAAAACCAGTCATGAATACACCTGAGGAATGTTATTGTCCCTCTGACAATTCTTATTGTTAATATTTGCATTTATTGTTATAAGCCTGAATTCAGTAATATTAGCAGACTTCCTTCCTGAAGGCAAGTTCAGAATGCATCACACTTGATCCTGACCCAGGCTTTATGGCCTCTTACTGTGCTGCTCCTCAAGGGAATGCATTCATAGATCATGTCTTAAATTCCCTCCCACAAGTATTTGCATAGACTACTCCAATGGCAGATTTCCCCTTTGCTGAAAGTGTTGATTCTGCCAGGGTTAAGACAGTTTTCTCTTTCTTGGAGGTAGAAAGCCAGTGCCTGCCAGAAGACATCCTTTCAGCCCAGCCCCAAGTGCTGAGCCGTCGGCAGAGAGAGGTGGAGGTTTCTGTGCACAGCAGATAGCTGCAGCTACTGTTCACAGGAAAGACACCCAGACCTAACAAGGACTATGTAAGTGATGGGACCTGGTTTAAAAATACACAAATTTTATCAGTGGAGTTACTCCTCTGGTGAATGGCACATTTGTTTCTCAGGAATCAAGTGCCTTACTGGAATCAGTGAGAAATGGGGAAAGAGTAAATAAAGATTTATTTTGAAGATCAAGACAGAAATTTGGGCTATTTGATTAATGTATTCAACTTTAGTGCATAAATTGGGATATTAGTCTCATGTACTATTCTAGGCAACGATGCAAAACCCTAAGTCACACTCCTACTCTGAAGCATGTGGCAACCAGGGGACTCTGCCTATTGCCACTTACTGTACAGGAGGAAACAGTTGCTTCAAGAAGGAAGGTGATACACCAGAAAGCCAGTGTTGGAGTACTTCCGGAAACATACTCAGCCCAGATAATTGCATATTATCTTATATTACAATCTTTTTATTAGTGCCATGTTTCTCAGCTTGAAATCACTGCACAAAGAGGCAGTTTCCCCACAAGTAGGGGAAGAGTTCATTGTTTTAGGGGAAACACTTGAAGAACAACTGTGCTAGAATATTTTTACCCATATATATACATACACACATATATATATGTAACTGTTGTTTTTGTTTTTATTGTTTCTTTAGGGATTGAATGAGATAAGATCTGCACTCAGAAGCAGCCAGAAACTCATGCATTACACTTATGGGGGAAGATCACCCACACTGCACAGACCTGCAGTGAGCTTTGGGAGGGAGGAGGCAGTTCAGCAGAGTGTACCATGGATGCCCTTGCATTGTGGAGGAAGGCACAGGCAATTGGATTTAACCAGCTGGGTGGAATTTGATTTGATTAGCTTTGGCACAGTTTCACATACTCTCAATTCATCAGTGAATGGAGTAACTATATTGGAAAGCTACTGGGGAAAAACAACATTGCCCCTGATGCTACTGTCACAGGCAGATAGAGCACAATCCCATACAGGCTCACTCTGTGTTTTCCTCTCTTCATTGTCTCCCTAGTTAGTTTTTTTGTGCCAGTGTGTGTCTTCCTGTATCAGGATTGGCTGCCTTTTCTTGGTCTGAGATCTTGGCATGTAAAGAGCAGTAATTACTCCATGACTCGACTATGAGCAAGGGTGGAGTGCCCCCTCTTGAACAATAAAACCCCTTGTAGAGAAAAGCCTAACTGAACAAAACAAAATGTGTAAAACCAGGCAGTGCTGCCACAAAGCACTTTGCTAGCTAGTGAGTCTATATGGATTATGAATAAGAGCCAACTGTGATTTAATCTGCCCTGCCTGTGAAAGATCCCATTCTATGAAGGTATACGTGTTAGTCTCTTCTTACTTCATACAAGTCTAGGCAAATACAACTTCTTTAGTTTGACTGTAGCTGTGCCTAATTTCCACCAAGAATGAGAACTGAACCAGGCCCAGCAATTTGGGACAGCATGTTCATACAAAGCCATCTTCTCTCAAATTCATCTTGAGAAAATAACATCCCCTACTTTTACCCACTGTCAATACCTCATAATTTTGATTATCAGTTGTGGCAGCTCACAGTTAAAAACATTTTTGTGTAGTGTGAGCTTACAAGTCCTGTAATATGAGCTAATAAAGGGTAATATGCAAGTAATTGAAATCTTTCAAAACATGGCTCACCAGAAGATCATGTGTCTATCATGTGTCAGGCTGAGCTCTCTGTATGAAGAATAATATGAGGGAATTTTATTGCTTTATCTTACAGCTCCCCAGAAGACCATCTTTTTAAAGTACAATAAAAAAAGTGTTTTGTTTGAAGGATAAATCTGAAGAAAAGTTACAGGTTTCAGAGACAGAGAATCAAGCTAAATATGTTGAGCTATACAGATGAATCTAAATAATTATTCCTGTGAAACACATTCTCAAGCTAAGTTCCCCTAAGTATTAACATCTGTCTTGAGTGAAAACAGACTTTCCTCAGTTAATTTTCAAATCAAGAGGTGAAATTAAAAAGTAAGAAAATGTAAAAAAAAAGTATGAAAATTAAATTGAAGCATCCAAGTTTTCAATAGAAAACTATCCAGGTATGAGCCCTTTTGATTTTTAGCAGGGTACTACAATTATGAATACCTGTACGAACTCAGTTGGATCTATAGAGAGGCCAAAAATCCCCATGTATATGTCTGGAAAATACAGAAAATGGAAATATGGATTTTAAAGGTAAAGAACAAAAAATTAATGTACTTAACAAATTAGCAACAGATATGTGATTTTGCGTGTGTACTTCTTACAGATTTTGTTCCACTTCCTCAAGTCCTATGTGGCAGGACATTTTCTTTTGAAGAACAATGCAAGATTGAAAACTATACATGAAAACAGGCCTTTAATCACGTAAAACTCATGGGTTTTGGTTATCACATTTTAAACTATGAAACCAGAGAGACAGGACTAATGACTGTTTTATTTTTGAGAATAACCACCCAGAGATTTGCCCACAGTCAAGGAACCCAAATTCATTTTTCTGATCCACTGCAGACTGTGCAAGACTTTTGAAAGCCACATAACCCCCTTATCTCATATTCCTTTCAGTGAATGGGAATCATAGAATTCACTATATGAAAGGGGGGGTTTAAGACTAAAATCTTTAAAACAGCAAGTTGATCATGTGATACAGGAAAGGGGACCAAGTAAATAAAATAGAGATTACTCTGTAATCACAGATGTGCTGTCCTCCCCCCATGGTACTTTTGATATGCACACTAACATTGCAGGATGCAGGCAGTGCCTAGACCATCTTTAAATTATTAAATTATTGTCTGTTGTAATACATTTTTCCACTTGTGTAGCTTATTAATTTTGCTGTCATCCTCACTCAACAAGCAGATACATCAGCTGAGAGAAGAAATGCCAACATGAGGATAGCAAGTTCATAGGTTAAAAAAAGTCTTTCCTCTATAAATAGAGTTGGTATAAATCACAAGAGTCTGCAAAATGGGCCTGGGAAAATTAGCTGCTGACCTAAAAACACTTCCTGTTGGCTGTCTGGGACTCCATTACACAGTTAAAAGTGACAAGAATTAAAGCAGCTAAAGAAGCAGGACTTTATGGTGAAATAAAGAATAAAGTGTCCTGGCAAACATGAAAATAAAACAAAGTGCAACTAATAAAAATACAACTATACTATTGTGCAAATTTTCTAAATAATCAAAAGGCAAAATGAGCCATACTTTTTAATCTCTTAATGAGGAAATAATTATTACATGTTTTCAGTGTCCTGCAGCCCTTGTGGCAGCTCTGGAATTTCACGAGCTGACCAGCCAGCAGCCCCATGACCTGCAGTTGCATCTGCCAATGAATGTGTGGTTAAACAGGGAACTCAGCACAGCCATTTCTGTAAGAAACTGCTGACTAATACTGGGAAGAATCTAGTCAATTTGAATTATACTTCAAATTAAAGAGAATATAATTAATGAAGATATTTTTATCTCAAGTAAGGAACTAGCTTGCTGTTTTTCATTCAAAGTTAATGCTACCCTTCAGCACTGGAACTCTTCAGCTAGCACTTCACCCAAGTGTCCTCTGCTGTCACTCAAAAAATGCCCCTTAGGGACTGCTTCAGGAAATAAAATGAGTGCAGTAAAACAGTGCACTGTATCACCAGGCTTATTGCAGCATATTTCTGTTGTGCTCATGCATGTGACGTTTCTGTAACACCGATTAATTCAGTGATGAGTGTCTCTTTACTTTAAAGCTACTTAACTAGAAATGATTTAGAGACACCAGATTTTTACATTCCAGGAACTTTGAACTGTCACATAATTTGACAATTAAGGTCTAAAGAATACATAAAAGCATGTAACAAGCATATAACAAGATATGACTATAAATTGTAGCCCTCTAGGTAAGCTTAGCTCCAAACAGAAAAAAAAGATCTCCTCAAATTCATTTTGAAAACCAGAAAAATATCTTGTGTAACACAGGACAGAATAGCTGTCTAAAAGCATATGCCCATTTTATTCAAATTTTGTAGTAAAACTCCTAAAATTGCAGCACGACCTTTCCAATAAATAACAAAAACACATCAAAAATACTTATTTGTTTCTGTAATCTCTCATTTAAAATAATTTCTAATACTGGGTGAGTTACACTAATTATTTGGTACTATATTACAAAGAAAACGTTAAAAAAATTGGTACTATGTTACAAACAAAACTTCCTTATTTGGAGTGCTTAGGCAATTCAAGTCAGATATTTGCAGCTACCCCTTAAAGACCAGTGAAATGCAATCTTTGGACTCTAATTATGTATTCAAGCTTACAAAGTCTCTAACCTCAACCTTAATTGTCTTTGTCCAAAATAAAGCTGCCAAAGATACATCTCACTGTTTAATATTGTGGATTATCCATAAGCATAATACAGTATTTTGTCTGAGTCTGTTAATTAGTTTCATAATTTTCCCAGTCATTCAGACTGAGTTATCTTAAGAATTCACAGCTGGTATGGAATTGCCTACATAGCTAAAATATGTGTCTTGGTAATGGCTAATACTTCTAATTACATATGTGTTGGCAAAGTGTTTAGGTTCAGGATAAATCATGCTGCTGGCCACAATTTAGCAAACAAAAGGAGAAAAAATTATACATTATGTAATGCAAAATAAATTTTCTATCATTCATCTAAAGCATTAGGGACCCTCTGAATTAGATCTATACTCTTAATCATGCACAATCCCATTCATAAGAGTTTTAAAAAGTGCCAAAAGCAAAACAAAAAACCTAAATCAGCTCTGCAGAACAAAACTTCCCAGAACAACCACTGGGAGAAGCAGAAATACAACAACTAAGTTAACTGTCTCACTGCAAGTGCTCACTCTCAAAAATATCCTGCTTTTAGATGTACTTAATGTACAATTTTGCAGGTGCCATCAAAGCAGTAAATGTGTCAGGGGCTGCTGCAGAATAGAGCACCACCAAAAACTGCATAGTTTTTAGTCTGTCCCAAGGAGAGTCAAATCACTCTGGCCCAATGACTGAAACACTTGAACAAACGCACAAGGATCATTTCAGAAGGGATTCTCACCACTCTGAGCTTTGGAGGTAAAGGCCTCCTTTCCAGTGAAAGTAAACAAGATCCAACAGTCTAATTTTCACTTGCATCACTGAAAATCTCAGTTTACCACAGATGCATCCAATATACAGAAATTCTTCCAGATCCTACTAATGGTACACAAAGCATTTCAAAATGGCCAACACTGAAAGACAAAAAACTATCCCCCTTTCATTTCCATGGGATAAGAGGAAGGAAAATCCTTATCTGCAATTCCTTCTCTATGCACATGAGTTGGGAACTTTTGCTGCCCCTGATGATAGTTTCCCAATTTTGATATTCATCTCCTCAAAACCACAATATATATTGACACTCATTCTGAATCATGTGTTCACTGTGGTAAAACCAGCTGTCCTGATCTCCCACATGCAGGATCATGTCTGCTCCCCCCTGCCCACATTATTATTTGTATGGCCATACAGGAAGCTCAATCAGCCTGTTCTGCTTGAAGTTAATCAGGCAAAGTTTTCAGCGACTCTCTAACACAGCTTACCATGTAATTGTGCTAACATTATTACTGGCTCAGGAGAAGCAGTGGAAATACATGACTGGGGAAAGATAGGACTGTTTTTCTGGGTCACGGGCTCACTCAAGGGGCTTAAGTGACTGAGACAGCAGCCTAAATTTGGGAATCATCTCTGAGAGCAAATGTATTCTCATGAATCCTCCCTATCACTACTCCTATACTGCCAGTTGCTTTTGCAGGACATTTCAATGTTTTTTCTAAGATGCTGAAATAAAAGCAGGGGAGGATTTTTAATCGTGTGAATTTGACTAGTGCCAGACAACTGTAGCTTCAGCAGTTTATCTGAAATCTTCCACTGTGCTGTTCTCTTTGTTTTGGTTATATCATTTGCTTCTACTTCAAGAACCTAGAACATCAGACAGCATGGCTGAGCACAGACCAAGAACCAGAAATATGTAATACAAATACTAAAACCAGCACTGGCTTTTTATTTATCTGCTACATTTACCTATCATGCTGGAAATAATAATTTTTAATTACCTCATTTCACAAGCACAGTTGCTGGATCTCTGATGCAATACACGAAATATATTTTTAAGAAACAGATGCAAAGTTTTCTGCTGTGCCAAAGGAAAATTAGAATTGTAATGTTCTGTCAAAGGAGGAGTTATATATTCTTTGACAAAATAGCAATTTTCATGGAAATGAGAGGCTATATAGCCAAGTGAAACTTAATCTCTTTTCAAGCTGCTTCTCAAAAAGAAAATATTAACAGCTATTGCACAATCACGCACCCACTCCAATTAACTATTGGTTAGACATGTGAAAAGTGCAAGTTACCTGATTCTACTTCCAAAGTTGTGATGTCATGCTAATCTTGACTTCTAGCAATCTACTTGAACATAAGAGGAACTAATAAAGAAGATTGAAAAGGATTTTATCTGGCTGTTACCTTCACAAAAATCAACAAAAGTATGTTACATCAGGATATAACAAATTATAATAAATTTGAGGTGATTTACCCTTTGAGGAAGGGCCTACAAATGCAAGGCTCTCTCAGTGCTTCCTAACACCTTTGAGATTATAGAGCATTATTTGTATGTGAAGCACTGGCATGAGAGTCCTGGAAAACTAATTTTTACACATTTGGAGAACAAGCATAACCTGGAAGAATTAGGTCTTGGCTTCCTTGCAGCTGTCTCAAAGTTTACTGAATTCTATCTGAAATAAAAGAAAAAATATTCCTTCATTTCTTGAAGTCTAGGTTAAGAATAGGCAGTTTTAGTTCTGAGCATTTTTGAGATAAAGGTACTTGTGTATTGTTCCACATATCTCATTAATACTTTTATTTACAGAAATACTTCTTATACCTTTTACTGTACACATCTGGGACTTCAGCTGGAAATATTTTTATAGGCAGAGGCCAAAGTTTTTCAGATTGTGTCCATGATTTCTAGATCCAGATATGTTCCTATTGGACTAATGCATTGCCCATGTCATATGGCTGCCATCTCTATGTACATTGATTTTTCACATTTCATGTAAAGTTTACAGCATTTTATATTCCCCATGTATACCAAGCATTCTTGCTTTTTCTTGCCCCTGAAGTCTGGGAAATCCTGCTTTCTTTTCTCTGTCAAGAAATTCCAGGGACAGTTTTCATTTTCAAAGGAGGGACACAGGCCCTTTTTAGTACCTTTATTTTATGCATTTTAGCATCATTTATATCTTTGAAGCTTCTCTCACCCGCCATACATACAGTGATAAGTAGTGGCTGTCTTGGTTGTGGTACCCTGTATACTCAAGAAAAAAATTGTCCATTTGCAAGTGTAATTTTGGAATGTCTATAAATGTAACTTAATAGAGAAACAATTCCTACCTCCACTGTCAAGCTTCTGCTGCAGAACTTGGAATCTACATAAGGCACAGGATTGCCAACAGCCCCGGGACATAGATCCCGAATCAGGCATATCCCAGTTCTTTCCCATATGCATGGGAGTCCACCACCTCCAGTCTTCATCCTGTTTTTAGGGCAGCTCTCTGGGAAATACACATTTAAAGTGAGCTTTGCCTCATTTCTGTACTTAGCTTACAATTCTGTCATGGTTTAAACCCAATCCACAGCTCAGCTCCATGCATCCTCACTTTCCTCATGTTGGGATACAGGACAAACTGGAAGAGTGAAAGTGAAAAAACCTCATGGGTTGAGATAAATACAGTTTAACAGGTATAGCCATAGCTGTGCATGCAAACAAAGCAGACAAGGAATTAATTCATCACTTCCCATGGGGAGGCAGCTTTTCAGCCATCCCCAGGACAGCAGGGCTCCATCACACCTGAGGGTGACTTGGAAAGACAAACACCATTGCTCTGAACAGCCACCCCTCCCTTCTTTCCCCAGCTTTATATGCAGAGAATGGCATGCTGTGGAGTCATGGTATCAGCACGTGCATACACCTTCAGTCAGCTGGGATCAGCTTCTTGTGTCACCCCAGCTTCCTCAAAAGAAGCAGAAAAGGCATCTTTCAGCAATAGCTGAAACATCTCTGCATTATCAGCACAAGTCTGAGGCACAGCCACATACCAGTTACTGTGAAGAAAATTAACTCTACCCCAGCCAAAACCAGCACAAAGTCAAAGAAAGCAAGATTAAGTCATTCCTACAAAGTAAAAATGCATTTTTTACAAATAAGGAATAGAATGCAAACCCTCAGACCCCAGTGGTACAAGACCTTATCTGACTGTAGAACAAGTGGATTAAAACACTAAGCCTGAATAAACACAAAACCCAGTTCTCTAATGAGGCTTTAAACAGAAATGTTGCACAACTGGAATTCCACTTTTTCAGATTGTATCGCTACACAAGATCTGGAACCAATGCTGTTTTCAGCTCAAATATCTGCACAATAAAGCTGTGCCATCTTCACTAACCACCCAACTCAGCAGAGCTCCAATGTGACTTACGGAATTTCCTTTGCAAGACTATCATCCCCAAGCATTGGATAGGAAGCTTAGGCAACAAAGTATGGGGATTTTACCACTGGTACAGTATTTAGGTCTTATTCCTTATCCTTATTTGCTATAGTAGAAATAGGAATTAGGTTATAGGTTCAAAGATTTGAGATTCTGAAGTCACAGAAGTAAACGTCTCAGTGAGAGATGCATTATGCCATTGATTAAGCATTATTAAACACACATTTACTCTAAGCTCTAAGCATTTTATGTATGTTGCACACAGAAATGCACATGAGATATTCTGTTCTGCTCATTCTCTTATTTTGAGATGCATTTGAATTACTTAGTCCTGTTCCTTCATCACATATCCGTGGAGAGTATAGGAATTACTATATAGGAGCAGGCACTCTAACCACCTTCTCTTCTTGCGTTATGGGCATCATGGATATAAGTTAAATGGCATTTGTGGTATCAGAACAGCTTCCAGCAAAAAGGTACCCTGCTCATTTTATACTTTCCAGAATTCATTTAATGAAAAGCCACAAACAGATGGCATTTTCATCACACCCACTGGTCTTAGACCAGAAAAGACCAGTGGAATATATCCAGATCAGAAGAGAGCAGTGGAACAGAAGAGAACAGGGAACTAATGTTGTTCTAATCCTTCTGGGGTTTCACACTCCTGGGCTGTCAAGAAAGAAGCCTTCACTGACGTTTCATATTGGATTTGAGTTTAGGGTGCTTTGTTTTACTATAAGAAAAGAGATAAAACATTATTCCACTGCAGACCAAGTATTTTTAGCGAGCCATAGCAGGAGGCAAGTGCCTTCATCACTAATCAATTTCCTTTATATAATAAAGGGAAAAACACTGCTAAAGAAAGTATTGAGGTACTGATGGGTTGCCAGAAGACACTAACTCAGTATCTGTATTCAGTTTTCTGAGAAAGGAATATACACCTCCATCTCTTTTTTGGCAAATAAGTATCTCAGTTTTGCAACTCTTTATTTTGCAACACTGTTATTTTCACCATTGATCTGAGTATTCTGAAGTCTATAGTTACTGCACGTATGTGTTGGAACCCTATTATGTATGCAATTTAACTATATGGACCGAAAACCCCACACATTTTTAGGGATAACTATTTTAACAGTCCTATTTCAACAAGCTGATCTGTTGAATTAAAATTAAAAACATTTGCTATCTTACCTCCTAATGCACATCAATTTACATAAAGAGTATGGTGAGGTGCACAGAAACTGCGAGAGCTTAAGGCAACCACTGATTTCCAGTTGGGATTGAATAGGTCAGGTGCAGAGAACTGGAGAAGCAAGATCCATAACAGCTCTATAAATCAGGATTTTTTGTGAGATACTGGTAAGACTGAAAGCATAAATACAGGACAAAAAATAGGCTTCTGTCTGCACAGAGAACTAATCAGATGTCCTAAAGCTGTCAGCCAGTACCAGTGGCACATGGTACTGCAAATGAAGACAAAAATATCTTCAAACATTTTCAGATATGCACTGATTATTAATTTATGTTGTTCATCTGAATAACATAACTTTTGAAGTTGACATTGGGAACCCACAGAAACTAAATAACTATCTAGGTTAGACTAGAAATTTGGGTCAGGGAACTTTATTGCAATATACAATTTGTACAGTGTTTGAATTTAAACCTTCCTAACAAAGAAAAAGAAAAAACAAATCTTGTGAAGAATTTTTGGGTTTTATTCTGAGACTGTTTCACAGGTAACAGTGAATTCTCATTTACATAACAATGCTGAAAATTAACTATTAACAAAAATCCAACAAATTTTAACAAAATAGCTCCAAAACACTTTATAATATGCTCCTGCGATTGTGTATTTTCAATTCCAAATGAATAGCTGACTCATTCCCAAGAGCTGCAGAGGCACACATTACCTTAAGCCCTTCTTGTATTCTTATGCAATTGTTCAGCTCTGTAAATATCCACTAAATATTTCTGCAATACATTCAAAAGGTTAGGAACTACTCAGAAATTTTTTACTTAATGTTAAATAAGTTAAAATATACTAGCTGACAAGGAGTAGTAAAAAGAAACAAAATAATCCTTATCTAGTATTTAATGGTCATGGTTCTCTCTGTACTTCAAGCTTAATTATATCCAAATTCACCAAAATAGAAATATTAAGAAGAACAGGACATTTTGCTAAGCATACTGCAATGAGGCCAGATTGTGCCAAAGTCAAGGTTTTGCTGTTTAAAATGGGATGTGAATGAACTTGGATATCTCTGTCTTAAGAGCTCCAGATATGGCTACAGTGCTCACAGAACTGTTGCTTAATGTCAACCTAACCTGAATGCCTAACACAACCTGATACCATTAGGGTTTTCAGTTAGCTTCAAAGTTGCAAAACCTACTTCATACTTTCAGATCAAGCTTAACATATGAAACCTATTACTGCCTTTTAAAATGATAATATTAATGATAATAATAATGATTATCCATGCCTGGGATGTTCATGGCACATCTTCTACGGCACAGAATCGGGATCACTGTCCCAGATGTGTAGGATGTATCAAATTCCTCCTCTGCCAAAGAGCATTCAATCTCACTTCTGCTGGGACATCTTCAGGTACCAATCATGCTGGTCCGGATGTGCTGTCTGTACACCAGTATTCTGATAATACCATCTCCCCTTCCTTACCACAGTTGTTTCTCTGAGGACTTTTTCTTACCTATCTTGGGAAGGATCACGAATTTTTAACATTGGGGTTGGGTGTATCTTGCTTAACTGCAATAAAAAAAAACAGCCCTCTGTTCCTAACTGCCCTCTGACCTGTTTGTTTAGTGGAAGGAAAGGAACTTCAGCAAGGGCAAATAACTCCATCCTCAGAGTTATGGACTGCATTATGGAAACACTGCCTGCCCTCGCACTGAAACACAGAACTAGTCTACAGAGAAATACCTAGAGTTTAGATTATCATTGTTAGGTAACATGAGTATCACTTCAAGCAATTAAGAGTTAACTTATCCAGGAATCAGGAGAAAGGAGATGAACTTCCTATACCTACTCCTACGAACTTCTCTCTTTAACATAAGTAGTCATGTATTTTGTAGAGAACTTGTACACACTGAGAGATCAAATTACCAGATTTGGGACCAGGTATCTGAAGTTTAGACATGCAACAAACTGGACCATTTAATATCTGGTCCTTAAGATAGGGCTATTTCTCACAGCAGGCTCACAAATGCCACTGCAGTTCTCCTGGGTACAATCAATGTGGGATACTCTTCAAGGTTTTCACCCTTTAGTGCTTCTGCAGTGATGAGGCACAAGTAAATCTGCAGGCCAAGTTCTGGCTGCTCACCAGCTCTGCTCTTCAGGCAGGGCTGCTTCTCTCCTCACTGGACATACTCAGTTCATGAACATTCAAGTAGAACCAGCTGTAGCACTCCAGACTCATTTTGTACCACTGCTACTGAGTACTGAGCTAAGACAGTAGGCACAACTAATTTTTCCAGCCCCTTTGTTGCAGTATACTCCTTCATTTTCCTCAGTTATCAACTGGCTTAGGGTTTTCTTTTGGTAGCTTATATGCTACGAAGTCTAGCTATTCTTTCTGCTACACTTATTGACTGACTTGAGCAAACAAAACCTGCTCATCTGGCCTAAATGTCATACCTGATGACATATCAGCTACATTCCCCGTAGCTGATATTTTTGAGTATTTTTCATCATACTTTATGTTGCTAATGATTCAAAGCAGATTAATTCATTAGAAATACATTTTTTAACCACATTTAAAATGTATTTAGCCACTATCTTTATGATTCTGTTCATCTGACAGGCTTATTTCCTTATCAAGTATGTATTTTAAAACAAAGCTGCTGTCCTGACACCACTTTTCTACATTATTGCAAAGTTAATGTTGTATTTTAATAGGATGATTTTTTATCAGGAATTCCATTTAGTGTGTTTCATTTTGCTGGGCATCTGTTCAAAATCCCAGATAACTAATCTCTAAGCAGTGACCTACATACTTAACCATTGTCCCATTCATAAGTGACACTAATGACTCATATTTTCTGTTTGATCTATACATAATTTCTCTCATGCAATTGCATAAATCTTTGTACCTAAGTAATTTTAGCTATAAAGATTTTTCCAAGAGTAATTCAGACAGACAAGACTACCCCATATCCTAACCAAAATTTAAGTTTACGTGGACACTGTTAGTCATGCTTTCTTCTATCCTAAATATTGTCGTTCTGCAGTGCATAATGAAGTCATGAAAGCACTAGGTTTATTTACTTACAGTTTAAGTGGAGGCAGGCATCAGAATCAGATTTTTTACATAATCTGCTGTAAACTGATTCTTTCAGATTCTTTAGACTGGGTGGACAGTTATATTTTGTATTTTCAAAACCTTTGCAGGGGGCAGAGGAGTATGTGATGAAATGCTTTGGCCAGATTTAAAGTTTTTTATAAAACTTCAGAGTAGAGCTTTGATAATTTTATTATGGGAATGCCCTCTTCTTGCTTGAAGTAAGCTTTTGCTTCCTTCTAGTTTGAGCATATGTCTTTATTTTTCCTTGGTACACTTGAAAAAGCTCTTGGACATTTCTATAGCTGTTCCCTTAGTGTGAAGTGTATATTAAAAAGTTGCCTTGCCATAGGTGGAAGCTGACCATCTTGTTAGAGAAAAAATCAAACTTGAACTTTGTTACCCAGAGGCAGCTAGGCTCTGCTAGAAGAGTCATCACTCTGAGAAAAAATCTTTGAAAAACAAACTAAAAGGAGCCAATAAAAAGTGATACTTCCAGAAACACTAATAACTTGAGCAAATTCTCTTATATGTAGTTTTGGGCAAATAAGCAGTAGAAAGCAGAAGTTCTGTTGCCAGTCATTTACAAAGGAGATTTGGTAGAAATATATCTCTAGAGATGACTCTTGACCTGAGGCCTGCTGCTGTGCATATCTGCACGAGTGCATATTTGCTGCTGTGCATATTTGCACAAGTTGTTTCTGTTCTCTGCTCATACCTTTCCAAGCTGCACAATGAGACCTCTGGTGTTCGTAAAAGTATGCAGCTGGGTTATGGGAGCAAATCCATTTCTGATCCTTAGGGAGCTAATGGCAAAGTGGGAGACCAAACAGAAGGATTTCCATGGCTAAAATACTGGCTAAAGAAATGTAACATTTATTTCGTTCATTCTTGAAAGTGGGGCGGTGTGAGGGTGTGTATAAACTGGAAACAGAAGGACTTTGTGAAACCAACTGATCAACTCAAACAATATGAGCTAATATTAGATGTTGTTTGAGTATAATGTTTGTCACCCAAGGAATGCTCTAGTCTGGGGAAGAGATACCAGATCTAACACTGGCCAAAACAGCTACACTCAAAACAGCTGGAACAGCAAATCAGTTTTATAAGCTTTGCAGTCATACACTACAGTGAAAGTGTATACTGACCCTCTTCAGACTGTCTCTGTTAAAACACAAACTTAACTGTTACCAAGTTAATATTATGAACTGGGAAAAAAATTGCATGACATTTGTAACTAGTTTAATTGTCAAATTATAAATATTTAATCTCTTAATAACAACAGTTCCAAAAACACATATAATTTCATTTTTTATAAAATAGGCCTATAAACTTACCATATGCAAATGCATTTGTTGTTCTAGATCTTGACATCACACTCATGTATTTGGCTAATTCTGTTGAAAGAGTCAAAAAAATTCTGTTTAGGTGCTCAGTTCACCCACTTCACAGGTGCTGTGGAAAAACACATGTATGAACTGTCCACATGGTCACTTGCAGACGTGTCTGTGGGGGACAGAATGCTATATAGTCATGCCTGTAATGCAGAACTGTGCAATTTATTAGAAAAGTAGAATCCATCTATCCTGAAGAATAATTTTCTTCATGACTTTGTCTTTACCTTTTCCTCTGTTCTACATTCCCCCTTTTTACTTCTTCCTTCCATTTCCAGAATGTTATTTCTATATGCCAGGATTAAAGCTCCATTATTTCATTTTCCCTTTACATTGTTATATCTCAAAAGATACTTAGGTTTTTTATTGTATTCAATTTCTGTGATCTAGAACTGCCTCAAAAGCAGTATTTGCAATAGCATTCAGATAAATCCTATTATTATTATTATAAATCAAAATGAAGTCATTCCCATTTTGTCCTTCATTAAATGGGACTATTGATCAAAAAGACTATAAAGTGAAAAACTGTCAATATAATCTTTTTTCTTCTTGGAAGGCTATCAAATTTTACATCAATTATTTACATATACATGTTAACACAGACACAGCAGGAAAAATGAGTTTCTGTCCTCAACAGCCAGAGAACACTCCACCCCCCAAATCTCCTTCATAGGATACAAGAAATTCCCTACTTTTGGAACATCCTTTGGCTGCTTTGTCAGTTTGAAAATAAAGTCCAGACATTTATACTCCACAAGGTGTCACTCTAAAACAGCTGAAAAAACATTGTGTCTTTTTTGCTTTGAACTTTACCCAGAAGGTCAGAAATCACCAGAATTTCAAATTTAAGACTGAATTATCAGATTCTACTCAGAGCTACTACAACGTAACACTACAGGCAGTGGTTATTTTTTCTTGCAAATAGTGTACTTCAAAACCAATCTATTTGTAACGTATTTGCCTAGCTGAAGTGAGGGCAAAACTAAAAAGAAAAAAAAAGTGTGCCAGTAACTGTTTCAATTTGGGGGAGCATTCAGCAAGTATTTTATCAGGGTACATTGCACTCTCCTTTATTCAACAACCACTGGCTCATTGAAGACACAGAGAACAATGTCAGACCCGATAACTTCGGTCTGCAAGGTATTCAAGCTTTTTAATAAAATACATTTTGTCTATAAACAATTTGTCCTTTTAAACAAATATAGTATAATCTACAGACATTCAAATATCCTCCAAAAAACACAAATAGTTGTCAGCAACAAAACTTTGTTTTCTATGGTTCATGGGCAATCAGTGAATTAATTCTCTGGAAGCTAATAGGAGAGAATTCCGAGAAAGTTTTCTTGAATCTAAAAAAATCTTACATTCCAACTTCTCCTGTAGTAAGTCCATGTCTTCATTGCTAACTCCCTATTTTCATGAACTTTTGAGAGATCTTTGACACATCTATGAACGTTAATTTCTGTTGACCACCAGGTTCAAAACATACTAGAAGAAATATGATACAAACATGAGCAACTGTCATTTCACAGGAAACAATATTAGTATTTCAAGAAAATGAAAATCATCAATGAAAAAGAACAAAGAATGTATGGAACAGCTCTGACAGTATGAGGGAGAGAGCTGTAGGTAAAAATTTACACAAGATACAACAAAGAAAGTGGAACTGATTTTGAAATGTTAACACATTTCATCCTGTGCTCAATACTGCAGAACTCTGATCCCTACATAGACCAACTGGGCTTTTGCACAAAAAATATAGACATTTAAAAATAAACAGTCCCACATCCAAACTTACCATAGCTGCTTGTGTTATACTCTGTAACAGCAATGTTTTCAAACACTCTGTTCAATCTACCCTAACTTTTCCTGGTTTTATGCGGCTGTTGAAATTTTAGGACCATTTCCAATAGACACACTTCAGAAAAGGTAATTAGATCAGGTTTCAAATGAGAGAAAAAGAACAATGTCTGCTTTGAAGATCTCAACAGATTTGGGCCGCTCACATCTCAAGAAAGCTGCAGCCCCAGGCCCATGTCTGGATCTTTGAAGTAACTGACAACTTCACTCGTAAAAATGCAGAGATGTCAAGGATTTCAGTATTTTTTTGTTTGTATGCCAACTGACAAACTTCAGAAAGCTTTCAGTTCACATAATCAGGATCCAGGAGAATCTAGATTTTCAGAATCAACTTCATCAAGCAAAACACCTCAGCATACATTAAACTTAAAAATGTGTTTGCAGTTCTCTCACTTCTGTAAGAATTAATGGAAGCTAGAAATGTGATAAATACTTTGCTTAGGGGGAAAAACATCCTTAAGAGAATTATTTTAGAAAAAACACCCCCATTGGTCCAGACTGAGCTTGTTAAACAACTCTGCAGCAACTTTTACCTGGTGTGAGGATATCCAAGGTTGTTTGGAAATTGTATTTTTGAAGCCACAAAACAAAAACAATGACTTGGCTAGATAACGAGTTTTCTCAATTGTGACATTTTTATAGCCATAATTCAATTCACGAGATGTATTAATCACACCCGATTTCACTGACAAAGGCTATAAAGAGAGGAAAAAACTCAGCAGTTACCATAACAAAGACACTTCCTTCACTGTTTTTTCCATCCAAGTCACACAGAATACAAAATGAAGTTTTTTTTCTCAGTCTACATGCAGCTCTCTCTCAGACTTTGTGCATACTATCTCTCAGACTTTGTGCATATACACAGCTTTTGCTTCATACTGTATTAGAGCAAGCCTGTTGCAAGAAGGAAGTTTTAACTCAGAATTTAAAAAAACCAGAAACCTGAGAAAGTAGACTAAAAATTCCGTAGACAGAGAAGAATAATTTGATTTTTGCTACCCGCCATTTCCAGTTGGCATGACAGACTACCAAATTGCTCTAGAATTTACCTAAATTATTTTCCTCAGTTACTAAATCAAGCACATAATAGAACACTTTTGCTGGAATAATGAGATCACTGTTATTCTCATCCACAAGGGCCTCATAGTGCCTTAAAAAAATCTCAAAAAGACTAGACCCTCTCCCCACATGACAGTATATTCTACAGAAAGGCTGACAAGCAAAAGGCAGTTACTTCTGTCAGCTGCTTAACAGCTCAGCACTCAATACAGTCTTGCCTTGTACACACCCACACACTAAATACCATGGGGATGAAACAGGAAAAAACTGTGGGCAAAATGAGTCAATCCAAACTAGAAGCTGAGCAGACCCCTTCGTTTTCTTTGAAGAGATATTTAATTCAGAAAACAATCACAATGAATTTAGCTATTACACTGATGTCTGCAGAGTACCAGTACAGATCAGCAATTACGTGTGACAAGAACAGAAGGAAAACCAAGCAGGAGACAACTTGCACTCCTCAGGACTGTGTAACTGCAGCCAAAAAAAAAAAAAAAAAAACAAAAAACAACAAAACAAAAAACCTCCAATTATTCTTGCAAAGCGCAAAATCTGTGGGAATAACAATCAAAAAGTCCTTCCAAAGAAGCCAAATCCACACCTACTCTTACAATATACTTATTTTAATCCCTTTCTTCACTGGCCAAAACAGCTGAGGCTGTTTTAGAGAGTCAAGAGAGATCTGTCTGGATAGTTTATAGACTTTGCACATCTGCTTAAAGAGGGAAACAGCTATGACTCAAAGCTGTACCTTAGGAGGAAGCTGACTATTACATTCCTCATCACCCCAAGTCTAGGAAGCTGAAGATATTTTCCAAGAGACTATTTTACCTGAGCTACATGAAAATCTATTCTGAAAAAAAAAAAAAAAAATTAAAATCCATGCAGGCCAGTGTACACACACTTTCCCTCCAAGGCCAATCCTCTAGCTGTCTATCTTAAAGAAACTTGCAGTTGTGTGGCTTGAGCAATAAAAGAGTTTCATACAATAGAAATGCAGTTTTCTAACAGGAAGGAAAAAACCACAATTTTTTTGGCCTTTTTACTTGATAATGAAAAAACAAAACTCTTGGCTCTGCCAAATCAAAGCTTGGGCAGTGCTCAAATTCTCTTATAATAAACCAACTCAGATTCACTTGGTGTTTCTATACAAAGAATACTATTGTATTGAAAATCCCTTTTTCCTGCACCACATCCATCAGTGCTTCAGTGTGTGCCTGCTGCCCCGAAGGCTGAGTCCATCCTGGGCTGCATCCACAGCAGGGTGGGCAGCAGGTCAGGGAGAGGGTTCTGCCCCTTTGCTCTGGCAGAGACCCCCGGCAGTGCTGCATCCAGCTCTGGGGGCCTCAGCACGGGAAAGCCATGGACCTGTTAGAGCAGGTCTGGTGGAACACCACAAACATAATCACAGGGTAGGAGCACCTCTCCAATGAGAACTGCCTGAAATGGCTGGGCTATTTCATCCTGGAGAAAAGAAAGTTCCAGGGAGACCTCACTGAGTCTTTCTGTACTTACAGGAAAGGATGAGAGAATTTTTTACACAGGTAGAAAATGACAGGACAAGGGGCAATTGTTATAAAGAGGAGATATGCACATTAGATATTAGGAATTAATTCTTTACTAAGAAATTAGCACTCAACAAGTGTCTCAGTGAAGATGTGGTTGCCCCATCTCTGGAAGCATTCAAGGCCAGGTTGGATGGAGCTCTAAGCAACATGATTTACTAGTGAGTGGAATCTCTGCCTATGGCATGGAGGTTTGGAATCAGATGATCTCAAAGGCTCCTTCCAACCCAAACCATTATATGATTCTACTAGTAAAGAAATAAATATAAACTACACAGAAGTGGAATAGACAAGGATTCCTCCCATCAAATTTCTAACTGTAATTAGTACCAGACACTATTGTGAAGATAAAGGGGATTTTTTACTGGAGAGGTATCTACCACACACATACACAAGTTTCTCTCTATTTAAGTTTCCAAATCCCTTGTGAGTCAGAGGCAATGCCTACCTGTAACAGAAAACAGACTTTAGTGACAGAGCCACAACAAATAACTTACTTGTTGCACTACAGAGGCTGCAACACGGACCTGCAGATTGCATCCATCCTGTCCAACCTGAACAGAACCTTTGACTTCTGCTGACCTTAGCACTTCAGATGTATTTTCACAGTGAAGAAGGTATTTCAAAGTTTACTTTTTTTGTTCCAAACCTGCATCAGAGCCTTAGAGGCCAGAGGTATCTTCTTACCTCCTTCAATCAACTGATGTGGCTGCAGGAAGTAAGAGAGAATACCTCTTCTTGCAAATGGTGTCACTTAGGTACTTAGTGGGATTTTCAAAGTATTCTAGAAAATTATCCCGTGTATTTCAAGAAATGTAGGGAAGAAAAAAACCCATATACATAAACCAACCCGTCCCAACAGGGTCAGAGTGAAGAGGGTTAAATGCAAATTGAGTTTAAATTAAATTAGGAAGTCTCAATGACTTCAGTATGATTCCATCCCTCCTCCCCTTCCACACACTCACACACACACATCCTCAGTAAAGCCAGTTAAGTAGGATACAGGCCTTTCTTCCTACCACATCAGTAAAGCCATTAGTTCCAGCAAAGCTCCCAAATACTCTGCTCATAAACTGTACTGGCCAAACATTAGATCATTCCTGAATTTAAAAAGTACCCAGAAGCAACTTTGCATATACACTAGATTTTTCAAAGCACAATGGAAAGTTGGCACATACTGCATTTATGAGAGCTGTAACGTGGTTTAAACATGGGTTTATATTAAAACTCTTCAGATCCCATCTGTAGGCTATTCCAGAATTCAGTGAAAGAGCCAACAGTCACTTATTGAAAAGCTTCCTTCTTTAGGACACCTTGACCACCACTTAGTATTTGCTGAAATTGTGAAAAGAACTGAATCAATCTTCACTACAGGCAATTATCTACAGGTGTACAGGATCTAGAATGTAAAGTATTCAGGATGAAGATTCAAATTTTGATATACAGACCTCCAGCAAATCAAATATTCTGCAGATTACAGAAAATTTAAGTAAATAGCAGCCATATAACAGAGAGCTTCTTACAGGTATTTACAATATATTTAGCATCATGTAATGAGCTTAGGTGTGCTTTTTTCCCTTTGTCTTCTTTCAGATACTCATGGATTTTAAAGCATCTCAACCAGGTTTTTAAAGGAAATCAGACACTACACAGGTTAAACAACATGGTTCTATTAAAAACTATCTTTAACCATGGCACTCAGTGACAGCAATACAATACTTTTTTCCACAAAGCAACTAATATAAAAATATGCCATAAATTCATCTGTAGGCTAGTATGCTAGTACTTACATATAATCATAACATTCTTTTATAAACTCTTTCCTGAGATACCTTGGGTTGGTTGATTTTCTTGTATTACTGGATGCATTATCTTTATGATTCATCTAAAACAATTGCAAAATATTTTGAATGTGCAGGACACTCAGTAACATGTAAAAAGTAGTATGTAAATATATGGCAAAGAAACAGCTCATAGAAATTATGCACTTTTTTACTTCGTTATATTTTTTCAAATTTGGCTCCTTGGGAGACAGAAGGATGGTGCACGAAAAACCTGAAATTAGAGCTATGAATTGACAGAAAGCAGGAAAGCATTCAGGAATGTTAGGAGTTGGAATATATTATAAATGACACAAAGATTCCATAAGTTATGTTGGCTATGTATTGTCTTACAAAGCAACTGGACATATCTTAGTTCACAGTATAATAAATATTTTTACTAATCTGTTTTGGAAGAGCAAATGTCTTTTAGGGTTTCAAGCTCCTGTATAAGTTTCTTGTTCTGAACTTCTAGCACTGCAACACGACTCTCCAGACATTTTATGTATTCTTTCTTCCGACGTCGACATTCTTTAGCAGCTTCCCTGCAAAAAGCAGAAGTAAAAAGTGCAAACAAAAAAGCCATTTGCATGCCATTAGAAAGCTCAGCAGAGTATGGAGACTATGACAGAATTCCAAATTTTGGAATATCTCCCAAATCAGTCTGAAAACACTAAGCAAAACTGGGTTCCACAAGGGCCTCAAGTGTCTCTTTCTCAAGTTCATATGGCAATCTGTAGAATTGCTTCCTCTCATGCCTTGATTAAAGTTCATAATAAAGGAGGTCCAAATGAAAGACAGTTATTCTGCTTTATGACAATAAAGATCTTTGAGGGCCTTGAGTTCCTCAATGAGAGTCTTGTTTTGGTTTTCAAGCACAGCCACACGATTTTCAAGACATTTGACATATTCTTTCTTCTTTCTGCGACATTCTCTGGCAGCTTCCCTGGAACCAATACAAGGCAAATGACTACAGGAACAGCCACAATATGGCAAAGACTGGATAAATGCAATTACCTGCAATCCCTGTGGTTCCACAACAACAACAACCACCACCACCAACTGCTGGATTGCACAAACAGAACATCGGATAACAGCCAAAAGCAGTAACATAGTTAAAATATAATCCAAAACATCTAGAACCTGAAATGCATCCAGCATCACCAAATACAAACCGATACACAGAAGAATTGAGAAAAACAGGGAGTATATGATGATGTGTTGATTTGAATTGTACTAAACATTAGGATGGAAAGCAACATTTCTTCTTCCAGTCACATTCTAATTTGTGTGTTTATCGGAAGCATTGTCTTCTGCCATCAAAATCTTAAAACCAAACCCAGAGAATATACTTTCAGAAAAACACAAACATAACACTACTCTGTTCAGATAAAAACTAGATGCCAAGCTTACATGAAGATAAAAACTTACAGCATGTTGTAACAATGTACAGTACAATTTAAGTCCAAACAAATACAATTTATTATCATTTCAGAACTGGCTGCCTGAGCACATTTCAGCCACATGAGTCTGTGGTTTTTGTTACTGGTAAATGACAGCCTGAAGCCATTTTTGTAGTTCTGCTCAAAAGTCTCTAATATTTGAGCTAAATGTTTTGGCTAATGTGTTCAGAAGCATGTGACTAAACAAGTATTCAATTCCAGAAAAAATATTAAAAATATTGGGAGTTCTCCTTTACCACCTTGGAGCATGATAAACTATCAAATAGTGAGAGGCTAACATTCCAGCAAATTATGAGCTATAGCATAGGCACTAGTTTTAAAACTGAAGAGTGAAGAAACAAAAAGGAGGCACAACAATGCAGCGATCCTCGTAAGTAATTTAAAATAAAGGACAGGCATGAGAGCAAAGCAATACCATTAATTCAATTATAAGACAAGTGGCTAAGCAGTGTATTAGAGATCTGCAGAGCAGACTGTTTCTACTATTAATCTGTCAGTGACAGAGGTGGCTATACATTTTAAAAAGACAGACTCCCCTAGGAACAGTAAGAAGAATGCACAGAGAAAGACTGACATTTACAACATTCAATCAAGTCCATGACAACTAATTAAAAAATATACAGCAACTTCACATAATATGCCTCAGAAAATGACAGGGGCACTGCAAAGTATCTCATCCCAGCAGCCAAGTATTTAGCAAAGTCTGTAATTATCATTCCATCTTTGAATAAGTCCTCTTCACAGCATCATTAATGGACAGCTGCTAATGAGATCCTCAGCTGTTTTCCTAACCAATTCTTTGCTGTGATGCTTTGAAAAGAAAAAGATCCTATTGGTCATTTTACTGTCAGTAGTGGGAGAAGATAGGAAGTAAAATTCAACAAAAAGTGTAACTCTGGATTATCATCACAAAAATTATCTGATATTGATTTCTGAATCACCTAATATTTTCAAACTAAAAATCCATGGCTGTAAGGTCAACTCTAATCTTCTGGATTTAACAACCAATACTCTATGCTAGGACATGGAATGACTGACAAAGAATTTCCCGCCTTCCTTTCATCAATTACATGCAGTGCTCATGACCTTAAGAAAAAAACTTTGTTATAATGTTTGTGGGGGAGGGAGAGTGGTTTGCAACACCGACTATGAATTATTATATAGTCTTACCTATTTTTCAAAAGTCTCAGCTCTCTCTTGCGTGTTGCCTCTTCTGCCATTTGCTGAGGGCTGTGCAAAGTCCCTGGTGAGGCTGCCATAACCACTCCCTGAGGCAAGGTAGTGGTGGGAGTTCGAATCTGGTAAGCTGGCATGTCTCCAGTGGCAGCTGTACAAAAGAAACATATTTTACAATGTATGGCAAAAAAAAGAGATATATCTGAAAATAACAGATTTCTGACAATGATTTATCCAGGATCCCAGATACATAAATAATTTCATGGTCTGTAATAACACAACTATATTTTTTATCTTACTATTTATTTATTTCCACTCTGTGAACTATCTGAATTGCTCTAGCATGTGGGCCCACTAGCCAGCCAGACTGAAAGCCTCCACATGGCTCTCTTCACACAACATGGGGAAAGCAGTTTGAGAAACAGTTCAAGCAGTGACACTTCCTGATTGCACAACCCCACAAAAAGAGGGTCCTGCTGTTGCAGACACTGAAGCTTATATGCTACCCTGTTCTCCCTGTACTGGAATCAATTTGCTTCAGAAGACAACTTTCTCCTCTCCTCCTTCCTTGAGATAGCAACAGTACCAGCTTTACAACCTCTCCTCCTCTTAAAACAGCAGTTTGGCAACCTTGGATAATGAGTGAGAGCTGCTGTTGCTACAATGAAAAGGAACAGACAAGTGCTCCGGATGTACAGGCATTTGTTCCCTGGGCAAGGCGGCCACATATGGGATGCTGCAGCATTAGCAAGCAACAGGAGGCAGTGGTGGTTGCACAGGAAGGAGCGTAGCTGCACAGTAAATCAGAGGACAAAAGTTCAGATTCAGCTCCTGAACTTAGCATTTCTGTGCTCTCCCCAAGCCAAATGCTGATCTGATGTGACTTGAAACCAACACCTTTCTTACAGTCTCACGTCATTTCTTTGTTTCAGATGTACTTGTCTTTATATGATGTACCTCAACTTAAAAAGACAGGGGAAGTCCTAAGTACTTGTGTCTTGTCTCATAGAAAATAAAGCCAAACAAAAAATTTATTCCTCTTTACATTCTAAGCAAGTATTCACCTATTTATTTCCATAAATATTTTATATTATGATAGAACAAAACTTCAAATTTTGTCATTAAAGCAACTGATGTTTCAGAGGCTATTATTACACTTAGCTTATACTTTAATTATTTAAAGCATTATTCAAATAATGGAAAAACATATCTCACAGTTTAACCCCAGCCTGAAATAAGCACCACACAGTCACTTGTTCACTCTACCCACACAGCTCCCCAGCTGGATGAAGTAAAGAAAATTCACAGGTTGAGATGGGAAGAGTTTGATGGAAATAAAATAAAATGTAATGAAAAGGAAAATAAAGAGAGAGATAAATAAATCCAAGAAAAATAATTAATGCAAATTAAAAGCAATTGTTTACCATTCACCAAGTGATGCCCAGCTTGTTACTGAGCAGCAGGCTCCAGGCCAGCTTTCCCTACAGTTTATATACTGAACATGATGCCTTATGGTATGGAATACCCCTTTTGGCTATCTGGGGTCAGCTGCTCTGGCTGTGATCCCTCACAGCTTTGAGTGCACCCCCAGCCTACTCACTGGAAGAGCATGAGAAGCTGGAAAGTCCTTCACTTAGTGCAACTACTGCTGGGCAACAACCAAACCATGAGTGAGCTATCAATATCTCTCTCATCCTAAAACCAAAGAAGAACACTGTACCAGCTAATAGGAAGAAAATTAACTCTATCCCAGCTGACACTAGGACAACTTGGAAAAATAAAAGGTAGACAAAAACATCTTGGGGAGGCTGACAGATTGAGCAGTTAAGAAACAACAGTTAACTATAGGGGGAAAAAAAACTTAATAAAAAATATACTATTATTATATTAATGCAAGTGTTTCACCAATTCAAAACAAAAAAAACAGAATCAAGTTGTGTTTAGACTACAATTCCACAGCCATGTCCTGAAATCATCATCAGCTTAAACCCCATGCACCTCCCCCCGCTTCTCAGTCCTGTGGGTAAAAGTGTTTGTGGAATTACAAGATGAACTGGACCAGTGAACTGACCTGGATAATCCCCGGGGATGTGGGAGGGAGGGAGGGAGGGAGAAATCAGCCCAGAACAGCCCTGTGAGCAAGGACAGGCAGCTGCCTGAACACAGGGCTTGGTCATCTTGTACATCTACAGGAGAACTGCGTAACCCTTTAAGTCCTCCACATTTGTTAGCAGTCCCAGTCACATCAATGGGGTGATACCTCAGCTCACCAACTATAAAAATAGATTTTTAGCAGCTCTTCAGGCTCACCTTTATGCTGGCCACATAACATATCTTGTAGACTCTATGGTAAGAACTACCTTTTTCTATTTTGTCACTAGGTATTAAAGTGATGTTATCTTAATTTGCCTCAGCTACAATGAATTAGAAATCCAAGCAAACTATTTTGTAGATGAAGTAATGGGGGAAAGTTCCACAACCCAGATCATCTCAGCCTGGCAAGACTATCTCAACCTGGCAAGACCAACTACTTTGTTGTCTGTGTCTGACTTATACTCAGATGGCAGCAAACAGGACTTACAGCAGCTTTTGTGCAAAGGACTCATTGTGATCAGGTACCTCCAGCAAGACTTAACAAAAGCAAGTCCCTATCTCAGCTGGGATCAGCAAACACCACTGGTAAGTATTCTAGTCTGAGCAGGTCCCAGTAGTGGCAGTCTCTGCCTGACTGTTGTCTCACTTATAAATCTGCCAGCACAGGAAGACAGATAAATAACTATTCTGGTGGTACCAACCTTGCCAATCCAGATACCACTGTTTAGAAACAAGAAGAAAGCATAGCACAGCATTGACAAAGTATCTTTTAGCTGTGCAATAATATATGTTTTATGATATATCATTGCAAAAAATATTTTGAAGACTGAAAAATGTTTTGTATATGAGCTCAAGAAAATGTAATGTAACTGACTTCCCCAGAAAAAGACCTTTGGAAAGATGAAATGGGCTCTAAACACAGTGGGATAAACTTAATTTTTTTCGAAGTTATTTTAAGCCTAGTTATGTTTCTATATCACAGTGAAGCATACCTTCCATTTCAACATCTGAGACAAATGTCACACACACTTCATCCAGACTGCCAAACTTCTGTGGCTGTTCCTAATGACACTTCACAAAGATTTAATGTCATTCCTAAGGTACCAGAAGTAGAACTGAGAGTAATAACAAAGCAACAAACCTTGAGCTGGTGCTTTTCCCTATCGCATTGCCCCAGATAATTTTTTTTTTTTCTTTTTACTCCTTAAAATGCAAGGGAGTAAAAAGTCACTGAAAAGCTGAAGTTTAGACTTACAAAAAGAAAATTAAGAAAGGCAAAAGACAGCTAGTGAAAAAAAAAGCATAACATGCATTAAAAAAACCAAAAAATTTAAAAAGCAACCGCCTCTTGGAAAAAGTAACTTGCTGAACACTAAAGAGCATCCCTGCACTCTTAGTTCTTTCAGTGACTATCCAGGAGAAAAAATGCCTGATGTATTTGGATGCCTATTCTCCCCCTCTGTGAGTCATAATGGTGGGACTTGATTATCAAGGGGTTTTTAACTTCACCACTGAACAGGCTACACAAGGCATGAATCATTATCCCTTTGAGCATTAAAAACATCGACTCGGAGAAGATATTTATCTTTGGATTAATGAAACAACGTGCGCCAGCACTGAGCAGCAGCACGTAGGAGCCGAGCCGGCAGGGAAGTAGTTAAAGTTACCGAGCTGCCGGAGGGAATTGCCGAGGCAGAAAGGAACTGACTAAATCGCAGCATGACTTGGAGCTGACGTCAATGTGTATCTTGTTTGGAGTTTAACTTTTCCAGTTCCCTACTGCAACACGATTCCAGGAAATCTAATGACGTCAGCCTTTTGAACTCAATTAGCTGAGGAACAGACCATTTTAACAGTGGAGGAGAAAACAAGCAGGCTTTACAATACTTCAATTATTGCCCTCAAATTTGTTTCCATTCAGTGTTTTTTTAATACTGGAAGCATAGGATTGATTTACACTGCCGAAACAATCTCTATAAAGCTAGGTTGAAGCCCATGGCTATCAAATTTGTAGCATCTATTGCTCAATAAAAAAGGCAGTTGTCATTTTTACAAAACAAAAAGCAATTATAAATACAGCAACATATATGACTATCACCACAATAAAGAAAAATGCAAAAGTAGAGCAGTGGATTGTTTTCAGCAAAATCCTGCATCAAATAATAAAGAACACTTACTGAATCAATCTGTGCAAGAACTTATGCACTAACAGTGATTTTTAGTTTTTCCTCCCCAAACAGAACTGTTAAAATTGCCCTGGAATCCTACACTAAGTAGACAGAATTAGAAGCTATTTGTACGACTTTACAGAGATGAAAGAATTACAGCAACAGGTTCAACAGAAAATGTCACAAATATTAACTAAACAATGCACAGACATACAAAAATACCATGTCAAAGGCTAACAAATTTTTTACCTGTTTCATCTCCTGTAACAGCCATGATCAACTTCTGCACACACAATTCTGCTGCTCCTCTACCAGAGCTCAGCATGAACTGTTCCAAACTACCAAGCATGTGCAGGATTACAAGCAAGAGCACTGACATCACAATGACCTCACTTGCTTACCGCTGTCATTAACATGCTCCATCACTGGAACAGCTCACTGAAACTGCAGCCCAAAGAATTCCTTTTCCAGTAAACCTGTTTTTTTTTCCTCTTCCACATTGCTATAATCCTAGCTTTGTTCTTTTTCCCTGAATTATTCATAAAGCTACAGAAAGCACTCACCACAAAGCAGGCTGTTAAGAAAGACCTGAAAATTCACAGCACTGACTGACAGAAATTAAAACATGGTTCTAGCATTCATGAATGAATCCAAATGATAAAGTCATGATTGGATAGAAAATAAGGAAACTTAAAACAGACATGCAGTTGTTTTCATTGGAACGGTTCCACTAAAAGGCAGAGAACTCTGGTCGACAGACATGCAAGACAGGAAAGATTAATAAGCTGTAACAAATAGGTAAATGAAAGGCTAGAGCTCCTCGCTTTGCAGGAAAACCCACAAGCCACTCATTTAATTTCAGTTAAAAGCTTCAGAAATTATTAAGGAACACTCCAACGAAGTAAGTCAACCTAAAGCCAGTGGTTTCAGATGCTGTAACAAGCTCAACAGTAACTCTGGGTAAAGGCTACCTCTTCCCCCTTCTCTCCTTTTTCAAAATATGTCCAAGAGATCAGGCTGATTCTGTTTTAAAATATAAATAACAAAAACAACAACTCAGTTCTAAGAGAGTTATTCCTTATTTACATCAATGCAAATAAAATTAGTTTCAGACCAAGAGTCCAAGCACTGGTTTGTATGTAGGGCACAGCAAACTTCTAAGGTCTTTGTACTAAACAAATTCAGACTGGTAATTTATCAACTGTGAAACTGTGCTGGATGGCAGCAGCGGAAGCATCAATGTTTGCATTGATGTTCTGTGTTTTACACCCTGTGTTCATAGGAGTGTTCTCTAAACCTGTAAATTACAGGATCACTTCAGGATCATATGTACAGAAGATCAGAACTAAAGCACAAGAAATTCAAGCCACAGATTTCAAATATCATTAACAATATAATGAAAACACACATAGATCCCAACAGAATGATTTTTATATAACTTTTCTACACTCATTTTCACAAATACTCAAAACACTTCCTTCTTCAGCTAGCAAAAAAAATCCTTAACCTTTAATGTATTAAGAAACTGCTCAGACACTAGAACTGCCTCTTCTTTTGCCTACAAATGTAAACTTGTAGCAAATAAAATGTCACTCAATTGGATCAATATATTTGGCACTTTTATCCTAGTATTTTTCCACACCACAGGTTATCAGAAAATATCAAACATAGGGTTTCTGTAATCTTATCCATTATTACATGAGATTCATTAACAAATACTTTAGAAAAAATATCAATACATATGCTATATCTTAAAGATTCTGAAACAGATATTTTCTGTTTCCAGGTATTTGTTATATTCTTTTCTTCTTCTGTGATAAAAAAATTATATGCTGCCTATCCAAAATTATTATAAAAATACATATGTAAGTGGTAAGATTACTAAGCAGTATATTTTTTCTATTATAATCTATGCTATCACAATATTAGGTGAACAATCAACTACAAAGTGTATAAAAATGACAAATGTTCATAAACTGTATTCCAACTGACTTTCCAGCACAGGCAAGATGACCCATAATAAGGACATTTCAGACATGTATATATTCAACTTACTCCATTGTCTCACTCCACATTGTGATTAACTCAGGTTTGCTGCCTACATACAATTGTATTACTATAAACATCTTCAAGTGCTTTCACACTATTTTTATACATCTCTTTTTTTACTATAGATGTTTTGTTTTTACTGAAGATTTTCTAATATCAATACCATGTAGAATAAGTTGAAGCCTTTCATCTTCTTGTCATCTCCAAGTTAATGCTCATTTACTGTTCACTTTGTACTTTTCCCTGTATGTTATGTCACCTTTTTCTTCTATGTTAACATCTATGAGGCTCACTAAAGCACTGGACTTTGGAAATAGAGAATTCCAGGAAACAAACTTCTCTGATCATGGACAGAGAGCAAATCAACTTAGTTAAAAAGTATCCAATGCTTCCAGAAACATAATGTAGAAGGTATTCAGTTACTGTCTCTGAATCCATTTTGAAAGTTTCCATCACAGGCAAAACACTTAATGGACAATTCCATCTTGTGCAGCCCATTGCTGAGACTGAGTAGCCCTGTCAGAGAACAGAGCTGTAATGGAAAGCCTGTAAAGGAAAATCAGTCAAATGGAATTCCCAAGGACTGAAATACTGCCAAATAAAATCCTCAAATGCTGTGCTTCTTCACAGACTTGGGAAGTCTTAGGAAGCAGCTATGGAGTTATTCTTTCTGCCTCTGACACCAAAGCTCTGAAGAATCAAAGCAGTACCCATAAAATACCACAGTTACTGTACCTGGAGCGATGGAGGCGACCTCTGATTTAAGGGATGTGTAAGGCACACACATAGAAAATATATGAGACTCATATTCAGAAAAACATGCAGTACTAGGGTGGGAAATTGGTTTGGGGGACAGCCAAATTTGGGTCTTAAGGCTTTCTTAAGAATATATTCATAATAACATTTAGGGAAGTTCTAACAATACTCTCTGAACATAAAAACATTCGGCGAAGTTGTTTTCATCTTATAGTCTTAAAGCACTTGAAATACTTCTGGAAAGTCTTGGGACAACAATGAATTTCAGCATTTATTTGATGACCCTCATCCACTCCATGAACACATATCAAAATCCTTCCAAGCTCTTTTCATGACTTATTTCACATAGCTGTTTTGGCTTAAGAAAATTTTTAGAAAATTGGTTAAATAAAAAGATTTTTAAAAATTTCTGTATATCCTCCATAGCTATTAATTTAGTATCTCCACAGTGAAATCTATCTCCCATTTTTAAAGGTTTTCATCACATCATGTGTGCACTTTATAGGACCTATAAAGTGTTCCTCTGTGAGAAAACTAGCTTCAGTAAAGGATCTGCTCTCCTGTAACTGCAAGAGCCATAAGTTAAAAGGAAATTCTGCCCGAAAAAACATATCCCAAAATCTTCAGAATTGTGTTTTACTAACATAAACTGCTGAAAAAACCAAATTAGTTTCATATATTTAATAATCTGCACCTTCAGCATCTCACTTCAATCTGTAAGAGTACCTTTATTGCAATTAAACATGTCTCAAAGTTTGGACACGACAATCCAAAGCAGAAAGTGATGTTATACAGCTATTTCATTATTTTTAACCAAATGTAGTAGCTGCCCTACTAAGCAGAGAACCTGAATCCCTTCCTAAGACTCCTTTATCTTGCTGTGAGTATTTTAATAATAATAAACAGTGCAATAATGTCAACACAAAATAAGAAACCTTTTAAGAAAATTTGTATAATATGAAAAAACGAAAATGGAGTAGACTATTAAAATATACCTTGAACAGCAACTTGGCTTCCAGGAACAAAAAACTGTTGTGTGCCATCAGATGACTGTGCTGCATATTGCACAATGGTAGCGCCTGGCTGAGGAGCTCCTGAATTTGTCACAGTCTGAATTGTACCACCTTGAGATATGGTAACTAAACAGAGAAAAAAAAAAAAAAAAAAGTTAAGCAATAGAAAGACATAACACATGCTAAAAAACATGAAATGAACATTGTTTTATAGGACTCCTGGTCCTCTCCTTGCTTAAGGATCAATTGTATGATAAAACTTAGGTAATATTAACACAGATTTCCACAAATATAAAGCCTGTTGTGTAGTATATGCCATATATATACCAGATAAAAGCAGTGTTCAACACATTTTATCTCTAGGTTTCCAGAAACATTAACTCTACATAAATAGTTCAAATACTAGGGGAAAACATAGTAGCTCCTAGCCATATAAAAGTGATGAATCTGTTCAAGCAAGTCCATGTGTGTCTCATGCTGGAAACTCGGAGCTTGATACAGCACTCCAGGTGGGGTCTTACCAGGGTGGAGGGGCAGAAATGCATCCCTCAAGCTGCTGCTCACACTGCTTTGGATGCAGCCTAAGATCTGGCTGGCTTTCCAGGCTGCAAGCTCATAGTCAGTGTTTCAGCCACCAGCACATCCAGGTCCTCTCAATCCACTCAATGCCCAGCCTATATCCACATTTAGGATTGCCACAACCCATACACAGGACACAGTGTATTGACGATTGGCATTGGCCTTATCATGAAGTTTGCATGTGTCCACCTCTCTGCTCTGTGACAGTCCCTTTGGATGGGATCTCTTCTCTCTATCAAGCTTTGAGTATCAACTGCATCATTAGCCTGGTGTCACCTACAAACTTTCTGAAGGTGCATTCAACCCCACCTTCCACATCTCCAAGCAAAGATCCTAAATAATACTGGTCTCAAACCAGATCTCTGAAGGACACCACTCATCACTGTCCTCCACCTGGACCTCTTTGAGCCAATTCCTGATCTACCAAGTGATTCACCAGCCAAATCCACATCTCCTATGTTAATTAAAACAATCCTGAAACTTTTACCTGAGAATCCAATGCCCAAGGAGCAAAAAAATCCTTTATCCCCCAAAAGATATTTAAACTATGAACATCATATTTAAAGTGATCTGTTATAAAAGTCAGAAATAAAAAAAGATTCAGAGCTTGCCAGCTTCTCTGAGTTCATTGTCAGATTACAGTATTTGATGCCATTCTTGAAGGTTCAGCTCTGCTTATCTCAGTACAGGATTTGTTAGATACGTATGTGAATTTTAGAGATTGCTGATTTCAAATGTTCTGTTTTGGCAACAGCAGGTTATCTCAAAAGCTGAACCTCAGATATAAACATTGTAAAGAGACTGAGATTGCCAAATCCCAACACTTGAATTAGCTTCTTTTGGGGAAAACATGGAATTCCTCTCATGAAGAATTAAGTTCAGAGCCTTATCTGCAATACTGAAACAGAGTTCAGCATGGACCTCCAGTCCTGCCCTTGGAATGAGGAGTATGTAACATGGGAATTAGTTGAGTGCTGCACACAGGCTCTGTAAGGCACTGAGGAGAAGGGGAAGAGTCGTGGCAGGGTGTAGAGTGCAAGATACTTCAGTCTGGCCTCCAAAGCTGAAAGTGCCCCATTTTAGGGCAGGACAAAAGAGAGAGAAGCAAGAAAAGTAAAGCATTTTATCCTCTACTCTTCATAAAGTCCAGGACAAGAGCAACAAGATTTGTCAACTCTACCTCCCAGACAAGTTATAAAGAGCTAAATTCTGCCTCTCAGACTTAGCACCAGATACATCTACACAATCACAGAACCATACCACATAAACCCCAGTCAGTTTGGCTTCCTAAGCAGTAAAACATCAGCACAGATTGATACAAAGCTCTTGGCTACACTGTGAACCTGGGTAAACAATTATGTCACAGCTGTTTGGCAATTATTCCTTCAGATCCCAATCCAGTACTCTATAAACAAAAGTGAATTAACTCCAGTAACTGCCTCCCTTATAGGACTGATTCCTGCCATCTTTCCAGAACAACACACTACTCGTCCTCCCATTCACTGTCCTGATCTCAACCACTGCACACACTCTATTGTGCAGGAGCTCTACTGAAAACTGAGCCTTTTATAATGAGTACAGGACTTTCCTGGACAGTCCCTGTAGCTGAATGTCATGCAGGTGGATAGATGCAACCAGCATTTTCTCTTCCAACTAGGAGTGAGGACAGTAGTAACACCTCTCTCTGAGTATGATCATCAGTTCTAATCCAGGAAAAAAACAAGATCTTTTTCTCTTCCAAAACTGAAAATGGAACTAAAGTTAGTCTTTCCCAAAAGGTTTCTTAATTCTCCAATTGCTAAAAGTCTATTCTAAGACAGCAAGTAACCCAAACAGATAGCAAAAGAGCTAATAATTTTCATTCCCCCTGCATTTTTTCATGCAGATCATCATGATATGCACAAGGAGGCAGGGAGATGGGGAGACTGATTCACACACTCCAACTGAACAAACAACTCTTATACATTAGACCACTACCACAGGTGAGGAAGTAATTTTTTTCAGTATTAAATAACCAACATGACAGAACTATAGCCAATAGAGTAGGCGTGTAGTCAGATAAGAATACAAGGCTCCTACACAAGACAGCACCTTGTGCAAAACTACCCATTTGCCTGGCAGAAAGATCACACGTATGTTGATGGAGGTAGCTGGCAATGCCAGTCTGTTTGCTTCCATAAGCCAAAGCCAAGAAGCTCCAAGGAAAAGGGTATTGGGAAACCATGGCAACATACCATTTTGCCTGGTGAAAAGTAAGTAGAGAAGAGCCATCAATGTTGCTAATAGACAAAAATACATTTTCCAGAAAAATTTACTTATCAAGTTCTTCCAAAAAGAGTCATGCCAGACATCGAGACATAAACACACAGTCAAAGTGATCTTTTCAGCAAAATTGTCCTTCCTTCACAGGAATAGAGAGAATAGTAGAGAAAAAAAGGAACCAGCAAACATAATAACATAACACCTCTTCTAAACCAGGGCACAGTTCAGATGGCCACAGTGACACCACAATGCCAGTTCTTCATTGCCACAGACACTGCACAAGCTTAATGCATAAACTACTGAATGCCTGCAGAATGTGTGCAGCCCATGCTGGCCAGGGAGAGAGGAGTCCTCAGGCACAGAAATGACAGGCAGAAGCACGGAGTTATAAACAGGAGGCATAAAGATGAAGGAGGTACATGGAGTGATCTGCATCATATCCAGTCTAAAATCAACACTGGATTTGCTACGTTCCCACCCAGTTTTCCTGGTTTTAGCTAACAGCAGCTCCTGAGGATTACAGGCAACCAACAGGATAGCTCAGAAATGCTTCAAATCTGTGCTTCATGTATGTAAAGACTAGGGGTCAACAGTTAAGCTCTCTTCAGTAAGTTCCAAATTAAGACCCCCATTATTACAAGGAAATGACCATCCTTGCTACCACCAGACCTAATTAAAATATACAGACTTTGCCGAGGCAAAAAATATTTTAACTTACAAAAGTGAACTTTAAAAAAAAAACAAATTAATGAACTAATCAATTCAGCAAGAAAGACTATTTCCAAAAAGAAAAAGCTCTCAAAACTCTCTTGGTTTTTTGAGTCAAAACCAAGAGAGTCTATGAAGGCTGACATTGCATTTTGAAGCAATGCCGCATTATAATGAGAACCTTAATTATACAGTACATGTTTTATGCTACAACTGTAACTTACTCAAAGAAAAAGCAGCAAAGAACAGAAATATCCCATGCTTGGTTTATAGCCAAGTTTAAATTAAAACACATTAGATTTAATTAAAGTTTTGTGGATTCTGTTCTCACATCGTCAGTGATGCTCTCTGTTGCTTAATTTTCAGAAGTAAATGTCTGATTGAACAAGGAACCAAAACCTTTGAATTTTGATATTCACTTAAACATTTCCCTATCACTATTGTTTATAGGTGTGTTCAAATGAAAATATATTCCCCTAAGAATCACCTCCTGCAAGACATTGTGGTCAAAGTACAGCTTTGGCTTCCCAGACGAAGCCATGATTAAAGCTAAGCTCTAAAACTTCTCAGAAATCCTATAGTTTTACAGGCTCACACAGACATTATAACACTTTTTTTTAAGTCTTGAAATGGCAAATTTATATATTCTTAATTAAACCTAAGCAAAATCAAAAATACAATTCAAAAATTGAATAAAAATATTTAATTTTTCTTAGAATACAAGAATACATGCCAGATTCTCTACTGAATATTTGTAACTTAGGACGATTATATTCTTTTCCACAGAAAAGAACATTTCAGATGCTGGACATCATACAGCAAACATTTATTTATTTATGTCTAGAGCTTACAGAATGGGTATGAAAAGCAGCCTAGGGGCACAAGCAAAATTACTTTCTATGCTGAAAGGATAGATAGTACAGGTAAAATCTGTCTTCTCACCATTAATAATTAGTTTAGTTACATAAATTAAAAATAATGGAAGAATTCTAAGGGTGAGTAGAACACAATTAGAGCCATTCTATCCTCTTTTATATGCCACTGCAGTGTTTTAATATACTTCCTCTGTTTTCTCATTTCAGGAAAAAGTCTCCACAACATTTCTTATGCAATCTTCCTGTCATTATATCAAAGGAAAAACACCTGCACTTTAGTGTGTCTACTTATGAAAAGACATGAAAAACTCCTACAAACTGTAGGAGTGAAGCTTTATAAAATATATAATTTTAAAGAGTTGTTATTACAAAGTTATCCAAACTGATAACTGATTGTCTGATTATGTCCAAAGAAGTCACAAAGTGCAAGTTATGCAACACTTCTACTATAAATGCTGGAATAAAAATATCCAAAAGCAAGCCTATAGAACAGAACTGTGGATGTAACTTTTAATTTGCATTTGGATGATGTATAAAATGTTGGAAACCATGATTAAGGTTAATTCTGTGGTGAAAGTATAGATATTTAAAAGCTGATGACAAAAAGACATAGTTCTTTTAAAAAAGAAAATTTGAATTTAACAAGTAATTTCATACTCCAACCTTACATTTAAAAAACTCTACTTGCCATTTCATATAATGAATAGCACTAATACATAGCAAATCACAAGAATTTGAAACAGCAATGATTTGTATCATTAAACATTCACATAAAAGTGTCAACATTTTTCATTTCAGCTGAGCCTCACCCCCACATTTTAATGCATAGGAGCTTTAGTACGACCAAATCTAGCAGCCAACAAATACTACAAGACTAAAAGTCTATAATCCCCATGTTAGAAAAAATTAATAACAATTATTTAGAAATACAGAATCTCTTATTCTTCTTCATCAAAATCAAACATCCTTATTGCATTATGCAACTCCTAGAAACAAAGCTTTGCTATCTATGTTCTGTATCAACACATAGTACATTTGCAAACATACGGTATTGCCCTGTGTTAGTATGATACAGGCTGGTTGGCATGGCCATTGCAGAAATACCAGAAGGCGTTCCTTCATCTTCTGACTTCTCTTCTTCTTCAATCTTCGCTACTGCAGGTGCATCTGATGAGAGCTCATTCAAAATTTTTCTAAAAAAAGAATGTAAGTAATTTTATGTACTTGAAGATCCATACCATAAGAAAATCAAAGAACTGACTTTTATCAGACAGTTTTGCTGTAACAAATAAGCTGCCTTTAAAAATCAGCAAAACCAAAATTAAAAGTCCTTACCGGTATGAAGGCCTTCTTGAAAGTATTTCCCTACGTTTTTGAGAATCAATTATCACTTCTGATGGTGCAGCTTCATCTGCAATCGATGCTACCTGTAATAGCAAAGTTCCTGAAATTCATAACTTCATTAAAAAAAACAGCAGCCGAGTAAATTTTTTTAAATAATTCCTTCTATGTTTACCTATGGGAAGTTTGTTGACTTATTTATCTCTAATCATATTATTTTAGACTACTTTTTCCAATGCAAATCACAAATTCTGAAGTTACCCAGACATAGCCACTCAGAGAAAAAGGAAAAAGTCAATATAATCCAGGTTACTTTTTTGTGAATGACACTTAGAAAAAATACTGGAAACAGAATTCTTTAAATATAAAAATATTACATAATTTAATTAGCTCTTAAAGTGAGGTCAAATATCTAAAATACAGAATACTGCACTAATGTGCTTTAAGTAATAGTATACAAATAAAAGCTTCCTCATACCACACCAAAGCTATTTTAAAAATAACTTTATTTAAATATATACATTTATTAGACTTACTAACACATTCATAAATACAAAGGCATTGCTTAGCAATGTTGTACAAGTTTTGGAAGTGCCTGAGAAATCTACAGTATCTCATTTTCTCAGACCTTTAGTATTTTCATACATTCTTCTTAAAATTACTCCAGATAACATTAAGGCCTAGGCCTGAATCACACTTTTGACCAGCACCTATCTTACTACACAGAACTGAAAGTCATTACTGAATGAGGAAAAGGCTTTATTTTCTTGGATTCTTTTAACTACTATTCTTTTAACTACTGCTGTGCTGAGATTTCCAAATGAAATAGTGTGAAAATCTTTTCCCATGAAGCCAAACCAGACTGCAGTTTCAGATTAAGCACTTTGTTAAACTAACAGTGAAAATTAACATCTGTGAAAATGTGATGTAAGAGACTAGGAGACTTCAAGGGTTTGAACCAGCTGCAGTGGAAGCTCAGGGAATACAAGGAAGAGCTCTGGAATGAATGCATCTGCCAGTCTTCAGTGCTTTGTCCTAGAAACAAAACCTGCCTGACCTCAATACAAAAAGACTGTCTGGAAGGTTCTGGAAATGTACAGGTCTGGGTCACCTCAACTCAAACCTGTATAGGTTATAGGTCTGGGTCACCTCAAGAACTCCACCTTGAAGAACTGCAGGTTGTTGCAGAACAAAATTATCTCTTCATTTGTTAATTTTATTACAGTACACTTCTGTGTAAAAAATATTTAATGTAGCCTCATTTGACTGCATAATATGCAACAAACATCATTAGAACTCTACATCTGCCACCTAGGTGGTGAGAATTACTTCTGCATGTGTACAGGTGTATAACTCCAAACGAGATATCAAAGCTGACTGCAGAGATACATGTACTTCAAGAAATTTGCATCCCTCCTTTTGCAGGAGAGACCAACGCTGAGCAGCAGAGAGAGATGCTGAAAGACATTTCCCTCCTCATATACCTTCAGCAACCTCCTCATGGATTGACCTTCAAGCCTCTGGCATAATCCTTCAAAATTAAGATACCATTGCACAGCCAAGAAAGAGCCTGGGCACTGTAACTCAAAACAAAATTTTCATTCTGCTGGGGCCTGGGGGTTAATAAGTAATCTATTTGTCCCAGGACAAACAGCTCAAAACCAAGACCTTAATTGTCTTTAAATTGTCATGTTACCCTAACAGCTACCAATAGACCCACTAGTTTGTGAAGATGGCTGAAGAAGTTGGGAACAGTCATACTTTAGGAAGAAGGTAAGAAAATTACAAGATGGTTTAAGCATTTTAATGTATGTATTTGTTTTGCACAGCATGGTTTTGGTAGCAGAGGGGCTGCAGAGGTGGCTTCTGTGAGAAGCTGCTAGGAGCTTCCATGATGTCCAATAGAGCCAATTCCTGATGGCTCTGCAGATGGATGTACCACTGGCAAAGCCGAACCAATTAGAGATGATGGCAACACCTCGGTGTTAACATATCTAGGAAGAAATCAAAACATAGGTTGGGGACACAGTTTCAATTCTAGCCAGAAAAGAAGAGGTGAGAACATGTGAGGGAAACAACATGGAGACACCAAGGTCAGTGGAGGAGAAGGTGCTCTAGACGCTGGAGCCAAGATTCCTCTGCAGGCCGTGGTGAGACCACGGTGAAGCAGCTGCGCCCTTGCAGCCCATGGGGATCCATGGGGGTGCAGAATCCCCCCACAGCCCGTGGGGGAGGTGCCCATGCCAGAGCAGGTGGATGCCTGGAGGAGGCTGCGGTCCAGCAGAAAACCCATGAAGAGACAGGTCTTGCTCCCAAGTTGGACCAGCCTGTCCTTGGAGGACTGCACCCCATGGAAGAGCAGCCCATGCCACAGCAGTTTTGGGAGCATGGTTTGCCTGTGGAAGGGACTCACATTGCAGCAGTTTTGGGAGGACTGATGCTCAAGAGATTGGAGCCATGCTGGAGAAGTTAATGGAGAACTGTCTCCTGTGGGAGGGATCCCACAGTCTCACTGGGGAACAACTTCTCTCCCTGTGCAGCAGAGGAAAACCTTGGGTGACGAACTGACCAAAATGCCCACACTCTGTCTCCCTGTATTGTCAGTAGGAAGGAGGGAGGAGCTGGAAGAAAAAAGGCATCCTCAAGGGCTTATTTTACTTCTCATTATCCTGCTCTGATTTTGTTAGCTATAAATTCACTTTGTATCTTTAAGTTAAGCCTGTTTTGCTGTTGGAATGTTTTCTCCTGGTCCTTATGTCAATTCATGAAACCCTTTGTAAATTCTCTCCTCCGCCCAGCTGTAGCAGGAGAGGGTGAGTGAACAACTTCCATGGGGGCCTGGAATTTGGCCAATGTCAAACCACCACAATGTGGAAGAGGACATTTTCTACAAGAAATTTCAAAAGTTTTAATTTTCATCATGACAAAGAGAGAAATGAACACTTCAGATCACTCTAACGGCAAACAACCATGTCCATAACATTAACAAACAAACCATTGTAATTTTTTCCTGGACATCGTTCAGATTTCAACTTTACTTATTTCAGCTTCATCTGCATTTGAACAAATTTAACTTCAAACTCATGTTAAGTGTTTCCAAGACCTGATACACTACAGGGGGGAGCAAGCAATAAGTCAAATAATAATTTAAATCTTCCTACAAATAAAACAACATTTAACAAAACAATAAGGAATGCTATAAACACATTTTTTTCATCTAAAAAACAACACCATTATGAGAAAAACTTCTGAGCACTTTCCAGTTGAAAATGGCAGATGTTTGAGGGAGAGGTCATGCAAACTTCAACACCAATCTTCAGCATACTTCTTTATTTCTTTTTTAAACTGATATGATTTCCCAAGTTCCCCACTGTCTGGCAGAGACAAGGTAGCAAGTTAAAGCCAAATGATCTGGAGGAAATGCCAGGTGGCAGGACAGTGTACTGAAAAGGATCACAGAAGGGCTGAACACCCTCTGTAATGGATTCTTCTACGGCATCTTCAAGCTCTTTCTTACCCAGATGAAACTAAAGCCTGAACTAACTAGTCAGTATTAACGGGGACAAAACTTTCCTGTTTCTACTCCTTTGAGAAAGGGTGGACAGCCAGAGTTCACTCAATACAACAAATAGTCAACTTCCACTCCCCTAAGATGACACAGAAGCAGCTGGCAAGAGATTCCTGAGAAATTTCTCCTTCTGAGCTTTGTAAAAAGTCCTCTATCTTTGCATCTACACTGACTAAAGGAACAGAAACTGCGGATTACTAATGTGCTTATTGAATAAAGGTTATTCAGGAAAATTACAGTTGGAAAGAATTCCAATGAAAAAAAGTATTTACTTTGAATACTCTGTTCTGACTTCAAGTTTGATCAAGTATTGGCACCTACCACACCTCTTTCCATAGTGATCTAGGATTTCAAAACCTTGAGGTCCCAATATCTACACCTACTGCTCAACAATAAAATATTCATTATCTGATCACAATTTTATTATTTTTCTCAAATATAAATCCTACTTATATATGTCTTTTTGTTTATTATACTGGAAAGTTACTAAGAAGCCTCTAACATTAAAGATGGCTTCTCAAGATCGATAACACATGGCTTTTTCTTAACATATTGCAATGGCCACAGGTAAAACCCTTCCCTCCTAAAAGGGAGAGGTGTATCGCCTCTTTTACCAGAAATATCAATTATATCTGCAAAAAGAAATTCAGCTGATATTTCCCAAACAGATTTTCAAAAACTAGAGCAGAGGCCTTCCTAGCTACCAAAAAAAAAAAAAACAAAAAAAGAATGGGAGGCCAAGAAATTTTCAAAACACTGCAAATTCATTCTCTTGCCTTTACTACTTTTTAAAAACTTTGAAAAGTCTTACATGTTTTGCACCAACCTCTGTTTCCTAATTCCAGCAACTTTAAACACATGAACGTTTGCCACATAAATGTGTGTTTTGAGGCTGCTTGTATTTTTGGTATCCACATCCACAAAAGGCAATACAAGATGATTAAAAACTGCAGGATACACTGAAGTAAGGCCATGGTTATAACACAAATTTGCTATTGCGTAAGTTCAGACACAAGTTCTCAGACAATTTCTTATAAGATAAACAGGAAGCATTAAGGAATTGCTACACAATGCTTGTAGAGCTGCTGCTGGTTGGATGTTTGCCACCTTTCCCCCTGCTGTTTCCTGTGCCATCTGAGTAAATCTTGCAGCACTGGCTGGGATGAAGTAAAACTGAAGATGGGTTGGGAAAAGAATTATGAGGTACCAAATATTCATGAAAATGTAACAATAAAAAAGCTAACCTGAACAGCTTGCATGTGTGGTGACTGAATGACTGAGGGCTGTGTAGCTTGAATGACACCCTGGACATGAACAGTTTGACCAGAAGCCAACTGCACTAGAGTTACAGCTGGAGATCCTCTTCCAGCACTGGAAGCAGCTACAGAAACCTGCAAAAATTACAATCATCATGTGTAAGTAAGACGCCTTAAGATTTCACCAAATGCTTTTAGAAGTGATAGCTAAAACAGACTGATTTTGTTGCCACATCTAAAATAGCTTAGATGTAGATAATTATCACATACACAAAATTAAATTATTTTACTAGTAAAACTACCAAAGGCATGTACCTTTCCAAATAAGTCTGGAAAGCTTAAAACTGTACCCTAACAAACTTTTAGTTTGGTTATTTGCCCTCCTTATTTGGTTTCTTGCCCTCCAGAGGCTTTGTATTTTCTTTTCAATCAAAAAAACTCCAACCCTCAGCCATCACACACCAGATCTGTTGCCAGCATGAAAGTTAGGAAGAACCTCCAGAAATGCAACAGAACCCATGTATATTCACTGGAGTGGAATGCCACTGCAGTATAAAGGACAGAATTTTCTTAGGAAGAAAAAAAATAATTAGAACTGCTTTCATTTTCCTTTGCTTATTAGGTAATAAGTTATGCTTTTTCGATGGATGTCTCAAGAGACATGAGAATTCTTCAGATAGTGAAAAATTTCCCTGTTAAATAAAGCCATACAAGGATTTATAAACTGATTTAGTCTAACAGACTCCTGTTATATACATATATAATTTTATATATCTAGAAAAGGAGAGTTGGAGTGTATCAGTGCTTTGAACAACAACAAAAACAAAGAACATCTGAATCTTCTCCAAGTCTAGTACAGCCATACAACAGCTTTCCCCAGCCTGTGACTCTCAGCCCTCAGTGCTGGGGACAAATGGGTTGAGAAACAGCTTAAAATCTATGGGCTAAGAAATAGTTCAATATTTCTGCTGCTACTGTTAAATCTATTAACAGGAACAAGCAGTGATGCAAAAGCAAAACACTATGACTAACCTCAACTTGTGTGATGAAACATCTCTAAACTTGGAAAATGAAGACAATGACAAACATAAACCATATCATAAAAGGAAATGCTGTGTTTTTCAATTAAACTGCACTGAAATGTCTTATTTCCATATTCTGCACATTCAACAATAAAATCAGACTCAAATATAAAATTCTATTAGTATTCCCTTCCTTTGTTCACAGCTCCAAAAGTATCTGGTATGAGCAGTAAACATAAAATGAGATGAGAGTAAAAAGAAAAACATAAAGAATGCTGAATATTAAAAAAAACCCAGTTGAATAAACTTTTGTAATTTTTATATATTTACACTGAGGTGGTTTTTTAAACCAAATATAAAAGCAGTTTTCATTCCTGATCTGTAAGATACTGCTGGTCTAGGAAATAATCCCCTTCTTGAAGGAAGTGAAAAATTTTAACTACTATTAAGTTGCACTGCTATCAAAAAGTCCTAATGTTGGTTCAAATTACCTTGAAGAAACAATGTTTCTAGGAAACAAAGACAGGATCTTGTCAACATTCCCTATGCAATTGTTCAGTGTTGAAGGAAACTGAACCACTTTTGAGAAAATAGAACAATTGAGGGCATTTTTAACCCTGAAAATCAGTTCCTCAAATCATTCCTTAAATGGCATTAAATAGTAACAGGGAAATAGGACATACAAACCTTCTTCCCAACCTATTAAACAAATATTAATATTATGAGAAATTTATCAGAAATAGATATTTGAGATTGAGCTCCAGGAAGTCTCAAACATCTGAAGAGTATGATCTATTTTGTGGCAAAGCTTACATGCTAAACCCAAGCTTCAAGCAGGGATCATAGAGCAGTCTAAATGTTTACAAAGCATGCTAACTTTTCAAAACATTATAAAGGCAATTCCACCAGACCTTTCCATTTACTGCTCTCTTTGTGAGAATTGCAATTTGATACAATACTCAGTGGCTCAGAAAGAACTTTCTGAGTACAACAGCCATAAATCAGTAAAAGGTGAACAGTTTAGAATTTCTTTTTGGTACACAATGGGTCCGTCATAATCAGGAAATAATCCAGTACTTGAAATTAAGAAACTACATTCATTTTAAAGCTCCTTATTCAGTATAACCCCACAGGGAAAAAAAACCCCAAAAAAGAAAACTTCATGCAGCTAATACTCTTTTGTACTTAAGTTTAAAGGAGAAATTGTTTTGCTCCCATTAATTCAGATAAGAGATTAAATGAAGAGGTTTAAGTGCTAAGGAGGAGACAGTAGTATTATAAAATTTTCAACGTTCATATTCTGCATCACATTTATAGATATTGTAAATTATTATTTTGATAGTAATACATCTGAATTTTTGATAATAATAAATCTGAATTTTGATTGAGGTTTCTCTTAACAGTTTTCAAGCTGAATATTCCTGTGTCAACTGAAATACCAGAACATTTTCATGCTATCATGTGTAAATCCTGACTGAAACAGACTTGGCAAAGAAATTTATTTTTGACATCAGTGATGAGCAATGCTACCTTTAACATCATTGCTTCAAGGACTGCCTGGCACAGAAGCTGAAAACAATCCACAGAAGGAAGTCAGGAACACAGAGGCTGAGGGCAGGCTTAGCACATTCTACAGGTTTTATGCTCCTGGGCACGCAACAGTTACAACCAACAGCTTCAATAAATATCAACCATGCAACCCATAATAGTATGATCCCATTATTTCAGGTATTTGGAAATCTAAGTGCTCCCTCTTCTACATGAGGAGATAAAAGTAGTCAGCAAGAATGACCAGGTACTACCTTCCCACTGAGGCACACACTCTTGCAGGGAAAGAGGCTGCCTGTGGGAATCCAGGGCTTCCCTCTGGCCGCCCTGGAGGGCCTGGGACCCTGGCAGGGGGTTGGGAACCCCCCTGTACAGAGCCCCGAGAGACACTGTCTGTGATCTCTGTCCATGGAAAAGAGTTTTCAATCTTACAGGGTGAATTACAAGCTCTGAGTGTTTGATATGAGTAATAATTCACTGTGGCACAAGTGCAAAAGTAAAATTTTAGGTTTCTAGATTAGGGGTTCAGAGGGGACAAGATGGAGGAAATTGGGTGTGTCTTGTCCTTTTCCTCCTTCTTCATGCCCTCCATGTTTCACTGTAGTGTTGGCATTTTTCTATTGGTTTAGGCTGGGGACACACTGTTTAACGTGGGTGACAGATATTGGCACATTATTGTAAATGCAGCACACGTAATTTCTGGTATATAATGTTTGTAACATCCCCCTGAGAGCAGAGCCCCACACGCTGCCCTGCAGGACAGACCTGCGGCAGGGCAGCAGAACATGTTAGAGATAAACAGAATAAACAACCTTGAAAACAGCACAGACGAATTATGGCTTCTTCTTTGGCAATGGGGCTGAAAGACAGAGACTTTCTACAATCTCGGAATCATCAATACCCACAGATTCTGACAGCTGCCCATCATTAATGTAACTTCAAGATACATGGTCCATCTGTACAGTAATCCTGGATATCCTGTGAATGTCAGATATCCCTTCCCTGCCAAGTACTAGAGAGGCTACCTTCACAGTCAACCCCTCATACCTTCAACATTGCCAAATGAAGAATGCAGGACACAGGCCTAACTGATTTCTGCCCCTGCTGCAGACTCTAAATACTACAAGGAACTCTAGAAGTAAAGTTAAAAGCAATTCTGGAAAAGTCAAGGCAAATCCCCACTGGATTCACCTAATAAAGGATCAATGGACCTGCCACACTTGGGCACTGAGTAGCCTCTATGAGGAAAAGCTGGAGACAGATGTTTTGGTCAATTCCAAAGCCACTGCCAAAACAGCAGTACCTGCCTTTAAGGAAAATAAGGTTAGGCTGACTCCAGACATTTGGTGCCACCATACGCTTCAAGGAAGCACAAAATAGTGACATAGCTGCACACTTAAAATCTTCTAACACCAACTTTGCTAAATTGCCAGCATATGCATGTTACTTAAAACAGCCTAGCAAACTCCCATAGGTCTCAATCTCTAGAGAACAACATTTAACACTGTTTGATTTCAAGAGCCCACAAGGACAACCCCCCAAATTGCTGAACTTGAATGGTCCCAGCTTGCAATAGCTATGCACTCCAGGCTCTGAAAATCTCACTGAAAATCTCCCTATGCTCTCTGACAGCAGTTCTCACATTGTAAATCCTGACATATGTCTAATTCAGGGCCAGCAGCAAGAGGTCAACAGACGGTATCTCAGACAAGGTCAGCAGACAGCCCTAATGATAAACATGACAAGGTTAACAAAAAGTGAATCAAAGAGGAACCATCAAGATGCAGGATTACAGAAAAAAGAAAAGACAACTGAAAGTGTTTTTATCAAATCTGAGAAGGGATAAAGCACATTGATCTTGCATTGTTACAGCTGTATTTAGTGTAGCTGGGCACAGAGCAGCAACACAGAATGCAGCATGGCTTCTAGAAAACCTGCAAAATGAACATCTAATTTCTCTTTGAATACAATTGCAGATTTAAGTCTTCAAAGATGTAAGTTTGACTATCATCAACACTATCGAAATATTCCAATACAAGTTAACTTCTTCGTAAGTACAGCTCTATATGTAGCAACAAATGATCTGTGCATGTGAGACAACCCATGGAGCTCATCTCAAAACAGGTTGAGAAATTTTCCATCTCACACCTCTGCTCTTCCCTCAAAGGCATCAAGCTTTTGTACAGGTGTTCAGCACATTTTCAACAGCTTCTAAAGACAGCCACCAATGATTTTACTTCCTTACCTATTTATTCTGGTAGCTAGATCACAACAATATTACCATGTCAATTAATCAACTGGCTAACAGCGACAGATGCAAGAAATGCAACTATAAACTGATTCTATAGTAGGACATTTTACTTAAAAAATAACCATTTAATGGACAAAAAGTGCATCTCATCTTCACTAGTTTCAAATTTACTCATTTTTGCTTTAGTAGAAAAAGTAATTTTACTTTCAGCAGCAAAAAAATTGCAGGAGAATACAGCAATATCTATGACCCAAGCTAAGAAAAAAATGCAAACACTATTTTTTCCTCTACAAATAATGTATAATACATTCTTCTTAGCATTGGAGGTCATCCCATCACACCATAGTGCTCCAGCCCACACATTCTTAATGTTTCCTCTCTCCCCCAGCAGCAGATACATTAAAAATGCTTCAGCACAAAACAATCTCTGCTCTCTAAAGATTATCATCTTATGAAGTACCTGGTCCATCCTTTTAAAACTAAATGGCAGGTATTTCTTTAAAAAGCCTATAGAGGAGGGGCGAATAAGTCAGCTACCCCCCAAGAAGAAGAAAAAAAGTGCCCATCTCCTGTGTATTATCTCTCAGCATTTTGCTACCTGGCCAAAGTCATAATTCAATTAAATATCAAGCACATTAAAAACCATTACATTCTATCTGGACATAAAAACTCCACGTGTTTACTGGAAGGGCAGTCACCTGCTTGTACAGATGCCCAAAGAGGCTCAGAGAGGCTCTAGAGACTCCATCCTTGGGGATATTTACATTCCAGGCAGAGAGACTTCTGGCTGACACTGCTTGCACAGGCAGGTCAGACTAGATAATCTTAAAAGGTTCCTCCCAGGCTTGATGCTTCTACAATTAATTCTTTGATAATGCACAGAAAACCACAATTTAAAACACAGTGTATTAAAATGTTTAACTTCTGACTGACCAAAGCCAAGGCAGAACAAATATTTTGCTAAAAAAAAAACCCACAAATAAAGCTGCCATCTCCTCACTCCCTTGGAGATACTTGAAAAGGAGCTCTCAGTTTCAGTGATCAGGCATTTTTGCTCTCAGTAAGAATCAAGTCATTCTTTTCTACTATTTCTGCATATTTGCAACAGAATTAGTAAAAGGGATGATTGGAAGCTAACATAAGATGTTTCAGTCAGTTATAGCGGTTGTCTTCTCTTGTGCACTCCTCGACAGGCCGAAGAGGGAGATGGGATCTGTGCTCCTCTGTTATAGTCAAAATACACAGGCACAGCCATGAACTCCTCAGAAACACATAAATTTCCCATCTGGACCACCACAAAATCAGTCAGATGTCTCATAGAGGGGTCTCCAGCGGGCTTTAACTCCTCAACACCCAGGCCCGACTCTCCATGACAAAGCGCCTCACCTTCCAAGCCAGCCAGGCAGGAACACAGGCTAAGAAAATCCTACTCATTGTAAGCCAAAGGAGCGTCTCAAAGGGCCTGTCAGCAGTAAGTGCTCTCTCTGGCCAGTTCCACCCAACAAGTGCTGCGGCAGAGCAGCCTGAAGGCACTGCGGGCGGTGAGGGCTGCAGGCCCAGAGCCAGCGGCTGAGGCGATGGGCACAGGCCCGGAGCCCCGGCACAGCGCAGCAGCGCCAGCCCCGCATGCCCGGGAGAGGGACGGCGGCTCCTGCGCCAAGCAGCTGGACAGGACAGCTCCAGCACGGCTCTCTGAGCCATCCAGCCACAAACAGGGACTCCGCTCCAGGCTGTAACACTCAGCCTTCAAACTGAGGTACACCTCTTGGTTCAGTGTTAATTGAAGGAGATTCATCAATACTTCAGAGTTACTCATTTCAACTGGAAGGCATGAGACCTATACCCCGTACAGCTTAACCGTCATACACAGAATTCAAGTATTAAATGCAGACAAACATAGAAAGTGTTATACATTGCACAATATAGGAGTGCAAAAACTCTCTACAGCATTAGTGACACCTTTGTCCCTGGATCAACACTAAAAAACCCAAGTGACAGAATTCACAGATATCTCCTGCAGAGGCTATTGCACAAGCCAATAGATTTTACACATCAATCATCATATGAAAATTTGAACAGAACCACTAAAGAAGAAATGAGGGGATGACACCAACAGAGCAAACCAAATAAAATCCTTAAAGAAAAAAAAGCGATATTCCCAATGCTGCATGCATCAAAACCAACAAAAAAAGGTTGATAAATATTTTGCGGTCTACTTTTTGTCTGAAGATCTGACAAAAAAAGCAGCTGCCTTCAGTTTTAAAAATGTATCTATAATGTAAATCAATTATCTAACATAAATATGTGGCATCAAGTCTTAACAAATAACTTCAAACTTCCAATGATGAAAAAAGTCTGTAAGACATTTTTGAAAATCAGTTATTTTATTTAACAAAGGGCTTTTGAAAATCCTTTTAAGTGGTCCATACACTTTTCTGAAGCTATAAATATTAGTACTGTCAGGAACACTATTTATCTCAAGTGCTGAATATTACAGTACATATTTTTAATGTTTGAGCATTGTTACTATATAATATTTTATCCATTAACTACCAAACAATAATCCAGGTAGAGCAACTATAGAAAACGTGTAAAGTATGCTTTTAGAAGTCCAGACACTCTCATTGGATACACAGGGATGAAACAAAACAAGGACACATTAAAAGAGTAACTGCAATTAGATGAAATACATTCTGTACAAAAACTGGAACTAGGAAGAGAACTACAGATATTTTTATTCATGTTTTCATTTTTGTTATACAACACATCTTCAAGACACACAAATGGTTTAGATATGTTTGATCTTGTAGCCACCTCAATTCTTAAAGACTGTAGCTCATCTTTTAAAAATCACCTTGTGAAAGTAAAATGAAAAACCCCCTTTGTTTACTGATCACTCTTGTCTGAAAGGGCTCCTAAAAATGTTACTTTTCAACAGACCTGATGTTATATTAGTCCTTTGTTAACTACTGAAGGCATAGTTTCCAGTAAATCTTTGCTATATTTTTCCTATTTAATACCAAGATAAAACATGAGAATACCACAAAGATTTATAGTTTAAAAATCATAGCAGTTCTGAATATCACTTCATTGATTCTTCTCATCTTTCCACATTTCAGCTTACCTCAGATCCTGAGGAAATCTGATTCTGGCCTGGCTGATTCCGAAGGGGACCAGCACTTCTCTCTGTCAGAGAATCCGCTGCATTGTCATCCTGTTCAACCATTTCCATGGTCATCAGTCTAAAAGTAAGTACATACACATTTAAATAACTCAGTACAGGAAGGTATATCAGGCAGCTAGGGAGAGTAACTCCAAACTATTTTATATTTCAAGCAGACAGAAAATAAATATGTTTCTGTCAAAATGAAGTATTTTCTTCATTCCTCTGTACTAAAATATTCACTCATATAACCAGGAGCTCTCAAACAAGTATTTTGGAAAGCTGTAGGGAGAGGCAGCTCTGGATATGGTTCTCAGGGGAGGGACAAGCAGAGTGCCAGGGTCCCATGCAGTGCTGCCCACAGAAGGTCCCTTCAGCCTCATGGGCTGCTACAGCCCTCTTACACTTCCAAGATGCCTACTCCCTGTTGGCATCTACACTTGAATTGTCTGTAAATTACTCATGGCTCAAGAGCCACAACAATTCTTCTCACTTTTACAGGTTTAAAGTAGGATAGATTGCATTGAAAACTAAGAACTTGCTGATCCTAACTTCATAGCAAAAACTTCCAAATTTACTACATATCTGCTATATAAAAATGCAATTACCTGACAGGTCCTTTTCGATATTTCTTGGCACACTTAGTCATAATAGAAGGTGTGAGATTTAAAACAAGAGCTTGGATCTCTTCGGCTCCCTTTCTCTCCTACCAAACCCTGCACTGAAGGTGCAACATTGAACAGGTGATGTCAAACATTGCCATGGCAACAGGTCAGTTTACAAACAGAACAGAGACAGGATAGGGTCAGGCAGAGGCAGGCAGGATGCCCTGCAGGCACGATCCCACCTACACCCTACTTACACAACCAATTGACAGCCTCAAAAGAAGACATGATATTAGTTGTGAGATTTAAGAGGCAGCAAATCTCAGTTCCCCAGGTTCAGGTTCTGTAACTAGGGGATGACAAGCCTGAGGTCAAAGTTCAATTATTTCAACTGGCTGATAATTACTTTGGTTTCTTCTCAGGACTTGCACTGAGAGATGCAAGAGGCAGGCAGGCACTGCTACCCACCTCACTCTGAGGCTCTGGAATTTAGTGCCTGTTATAAGTTAACTACATTAAAGAAATTAAATGTAACCAAACTCCTTTTGTGGCACTATTTTACAGAACATTCCACAATCTTTGAAGAGAACACTTTTTATTAGTTTTTTAGAAATCAAATTTTTGCCCAAAATAAAGGCATGAAAATATGAAAACATACCCAGTAAAATTATGCAGAGAAGCATATTTGTCGTTCATATGCCTCAAATGGTACTCTACTGACCAGACTTAACAGTACTATAGCTATTAGTAACAAAGCTGCAAAACAATTCACCATTTTATGGGTTAACGTATTTCTGCTCAGAGAAGTTACATACCCTATGCCAGTATCAATTCAGATTAGAATTATATGGAGCTATTTTACACCTAAAATCTTTCTACATTTTCTCTTGCAAGTTACCACTAATTACCTTTTTGTTTAGATACAATCTAATGAAATATCTACTGAAATTCACCAAAGTCTAACAGCTCTAGGGAAAATGTTTTTTACCAAGCTTTTCACCAAGCTTTTCATCTTAATTTGCTATAAGAAGATGTTACCTAATAAAACTGTGCTTGTTTTATATATGTGCAATATAATAACAATAAGAAAGTAGGGGGGGAAAGTCTCAAATATGAAAGGTCTACGGGGTTATAGTAAGAATAAGCTTCAGAACAGCTCACACACCAAGAATAAATAATGCCTAGGTACTGGCAACATATTCATTGTAATCTCTTCCTAATGATGGGATAGTCAGAATTAATTCACTTTATGAAGGCCCTGAACTATTATTGTATCCAGAGCCATCTGTCACAGAAAACAAACAAACAAAAAAAAAAAAACAAAAAAAAAAAACCAAACCAAAAAAAAACCCAAAAAACCCCAAAAAAACAACCCCAAAACAAAAAATCCACCCAAAACCAAATAACAACAAAAACCAAGTACTTTTATTCCCACTGAATGCATTTCTACCCAGAAAGTGATATTTTTCATTGTGGAAAAAATTTAGTTTCTGATTTTTAGCTTAATTTCTCACTGATTGCAGAACAGTATAAAAATTTATTTATTTCTACTACTTTATCAGGATTTTTCTCCCCAAGACTTTTCATCTGCAGTGCTGCATTAGCTAAGTTAGCAAAAAGCTACAAAAACAACATCACTGCAGCAGAAAATCTAACAAAGTTATTCCTTGTACTTTGAGAAATGCAGTACAGAGAAAGGGGTATTTTTTGATTATTTATCTTTAATTAAAAAACAACAGCAAGAACTGTACATGTCAGTGGAGTGACAAACATAATTAAGATTTATGACATACATGGAAAACTCCAGAATTTATATAGATTTTCCATCTATAATTGTGTATATTCTGACTCCTAATACAAATGATTGCTTAATTGAGAACTTTAGCAGGGTGGAGTAAAGTCTGAAAATTTGACTGCCATAAAATGCAATCACTACTCTGAAACATAGCAAAATACTTTTCCTAGATAAGCTCAAACCTGCTTCTTTTTGACAACCTCTGTGACCAAACAGTGACTTGACTTGAAACAACATCCGAATAGAAAGATCCAATCACAGTCTTAAAAAAAAAAAAAAAAAAACCAAAAAAACCCCAAACAAACAAACAAAAAAAACCAAACCAAAAAAAAACCCAAAAAAACAATGAAGTATATGAGTAATTCTAAAAGATACATGAGCTATCTTGGCATAAAACTTCAGTGAGAATGATGATTTAAGACAAACTAGCACACTAGTGTCCCAATTCAGACATGATACAAGGTAGGAATCTTTGACAGACACAGCCATGGGATCGCTGACCTGGCAGGAGCCGGTCAGCTGCAGTCATTTGAGCCCACAGGGTCAGCGGTGGCACAGCCACACTGAGCTGTGCGGTTCATATGGGCTTGTACACAGCTCAAGACCAGGCCAAGGAACTCCTGCATTTCAGATTAGCTTGTCATTGTCTTCAGAGATAACCTGAACTGTACAGGGTTTTTATTTCCTGTACTACATATCATGTCAACATGAATACATCAAACTTTTTAATAAATACACAGAAAAATTACCGAGCAATACTATAATTATGCTGTTTCTAAAATGTCAGTAATACAGACTGTGGCATGAAACTGTTACTAATCCAATTCAGAAAACAGTTTCCAGACATATCACACTCAATTAGTCTTCATTGTAAGGAGATATTGACATATTCATTACTATTAAGTTTCCAAGAAAGAAAACCAGAATTTTCCGTAAAGCCTTTAAAATCCTTTATAAAAGTCTATCAGTAGCAGTACACATCACACTTAAAAGTTTACATAACCTTCCTTCTATTTTTAAAGGAAAACTAAGCAAATAGTTCAAAGTAAGTGGTCTTGGGTCCTGTTTAACATTATATTGTTTTTCTTAATTGTATGACTAATTATATACAAGTTTTAGTCTTATACTCATTATTAATACATCTTTTTCTTACATTTTTAATCTTAGTTGCTTACAAAGACTGAATAATAATTTAAAATACTAGTCTAGATTTTTAAATTAATAAATAAGTTATACCTCTGTGCACACATAAAAAGGGTACAAAAATGGTTTTCCAAAGATATTTGCTTCTTCCTACAACATTGCAAAGAGATCTTCAGGATCTGGCAGGAGGTTTAACTGTCACCAAACCAGCAACATTTCAATATACATAAGCACATGTTTACTGTAGTCACTGAGACTAATGGACAGCAGGGCAATGATCAGTAGCAGATAAACACTGATTAAGATGATGCATACAGTGCACATCAAAAGCTTCTTCAACTGTGAGATTAACCACCCCTGACGGAGAAATCTGACAGATGGAATCAGCTACAGGAAAACTGAAATTTTTTCCTAGAAAATTTTAAGCAATTTACAGCTAAAGGTGTGAATTCTTTATATTTTTGCCCATAGGTAAGAAACGAAGGATAGTATCCCTAGCAAGACATGTTCTTTTGCAATAAAGAGCACAAGAAATCCTTTTACTCCTCCCTGTACTGCTGTTTGTTTTACATCACTCCATATCAACATAATATTTAAGGTCTATTGGTGAAATTATACTGCAAAAGCACATTGCTACAGTATTTTGCATAACTGGAAGTGTGTGACTGTCTAAATAAATACCCACAGACATTTTTAAAAACAACTTTATTATTTCAACCATCCTTTATACATCAGGGACTGTTTACAAATGTGGTTTGATACATAGGAAATCAATCATACGGGGCTAAAAAAATATGTTTCAGCCCTTGCTCCAAATCTCTTTGAAGGCCTTTATTCACAGGGGAGTTACCAGAAATCAAGAATGCGAATGTACAAACACCTGTTTTGCATTTACTGCTGACCCCACAGTTAGTATGGAAACTCTCAGAATACACTCGTTTCAGAAGAGCATTGTGTTTTCTATCAACTCTGTAATAACTGTTTTACCATGCTGGTAGCATGAAGGACACCAGCTGATAAGGTGATCACAGAATTCAGTCAAGTAAAATGTGCAGCAGCACAACAGTGCACTTTCTGCAAACTGTTGGGTCTGAAAGTTTTCAGTATCACCAGAAGCTTCATCACTAAGGTTCTTGTGTCTCCTACAGTCTTATTTCCCTATTTTCTTCCCCAAAAATCTTAAAACGCCAACATTACTCTGAGCACAGGCAATGCTACTTGGCCACTCGGCGCCTGCCGCCTCAACCACGCTGCCAATGCAGCGCAGAGCCGGCTGTGAGCGGACACACGGCCCCTTCAGAGGGGCCCAACCTGGGTAAGCCAGAGGATCAGTCAAGCATCAGTCCCTGGAACCACTTAACAGCGCTGCACTCAGCACCAAAAATGATGCTATCACAGCAGTGGGGGATGCAGATAAAAGTTTCAAGCAAGACTTCGAACTCACGAAGCCCACTGTGATCCCTCCCGACTTGTTCTGACCCAGCTCTGAACGCTCTATGGGCAAGGTGATAACCGGGAGTAACGGACTAAGGCACAAAAGCCACCGGGCACCGCCGCTGCCCTCGGCCGGGGCAGCCCCGCACAGACCCCGGGACGGGCCGGTCGGGGCGCTCTGCCCGCAGCGGGCAGGCGCTGACCCCGCTCCGAGCCGCAACGCCGGGCGAGCCGAGCCGGCGTCCCGAGCAAGCGCCGGAGCCACCGCCTGCCGGAGCCCGGCGAGCGCCGCGGCTGCCGGGCGGACCGCAGCCCTTCCGTAATTCCCGGGACGCGCAGCCGCCCCGGGGCAGCCCCACAGCGCCGTGCGGGCTCCGCGCCGCCGTCCCTGAGCGCAGCGCGCCCCCGGCTGCTGACGGGGACGAGCCCCCGCCGCCGCCCGCGCGCTCCCGTGGCGGGGCTGAGCCAAGCGCGGCACAGCGCCCCCCGCCTGCCCTGCCCGCCGTGCCGCCCGCTGCCCTCCGCGCTGCCCCGCTCCCGGCCCGCAGGGGGTCGGGCTGCGCGCACACGTGTCCCCGCCCCCTCCCGCACTCACCCGCCGCCCTGTACGTGCTGCCCCCGTCACAGGGGGTGGGGGGGATCGGGCCGGGCGGAGTCGCACGTCGGCCTCACGTCAGCGCTGATGCAGCCGCGCCGCCGCGGGGGCGCCGAGGAAATGGCGTCTGTGGGGCCTCCCAGCGCCAGCGGCCGCGGCGGGAGGCGGAGCCGCGCGCGGGCGGGCGGCGGTGCCGGGCGGCCGCGGGGCGCAACGGCCGCGGCGCTGACCAACCGCCGCCGCGGGGCCCCGCCGGCGCCGCCCATTGGCCGGGGCGGGACGCGCCGCGGTGCGGGCGGGGCGGCCCCGCGCTGCCGGGGGCGGGAGCGGCCGGTAACAGCCGGGGCGGCCGCGGGCGCGCCGCGCTCCCTGCGCCGCGCTCCGGCCGTGCGATAGCGGGGCGGTGCCCGCTGCTCCCCGCGCCGGCCGGGCCCGCCGATAAGGGCGGTTGTCTGGGCTCCATCGCAGGGCCCAGCCCCGGTCGTCTCCGCGCTGGCCTAGGGAAGGGAGGAGGCACAACCCCCGGTTGTTCCCTGGGCGGTGCAGGAGCCCTGACGGACGCGGAAACCTGCCCAGAGGCCGCCCCGCCGAGATGCTCCCCGCCGGTTTTGTAATTCGGCGTAGTAAAAACACGTTCCTTACATCAGTCATTCATAGTATGACATAGTTATTTTACATTTATTCGGCTAAGTAAATCAGAAATTGCCAAGAGGCAACAAGCGGGAGGGACGTGCATGTTTCCCCGCTCGCTGCCGCGGGATTACGCCCCAATAGCCTGAGTCATGCTGGGTTTGTGCTGAGGGTGTGAGCACGTCCTTTGCCGGAAGCGCAGCGCCCGTCGGCTCAGGGATATTTATTGCACTTGAATAATGTTCAAATGTAATAAATGCGTAAGCCATAAACTTTGTTACTATGGGTGATTGAACATCATATGTTTATTGCTGATCAGCATTTTACAAAGTAGTGTTACAAGGGATTATACTGCACTTAAATTGTATACATCACTGCACATATATTCTGAAGTTATGTAATGCATTTACCTCTTTTTATGGTTTAGGTTATTTTTTTTTTTACTGTAAGAATATACTCGGTGTGCTAAATAAACATGAAAAAACTAAGTTAATTTCACATAACTCATTATCATTAAAGAATTGGAGGATGTGTGTGTCAGGATTGGTGATAGGTCCACACAGGTCAAACACTCAGTCTTATTCATGGCACGGAGAGAACCTGCGTATTGATTTCCTGTGTTTTTAAAAAACCAAATAATTCTTATCTCTGACTTCGTAAGAGATGACTCATATCTATTTGCAAAGGTCTTACCTTTAAGCATTTAGTTCTTTAATTTCCTTCGCAGGAGTTACTTAACACAGCTATCAAAATCACAATCTAGTGGAAAAAATACAGAATCTTCAATTACCACTCTTGCTTGGACAAGTTTTCAGTTTTCATCCTACATTTCCTTTGTTGAAATATTGAACACCCCCTTCCTGTTTTGAATTCTGTTTCCCTCCCTTGTTTTTTGTATATATATTATGTGTCTGTTCTGGGTTTTTAAATAGGAGTTTCTCTTCCTGTAATTCTGCTTTAAGATGTAATCCGTTACATACACTATTGTTATGCTCATTCATTAAAATATATGTGTTCTCTTGTCAATTAATAATATTTGTTAGACTAGTAAGATAATCAAATGAACAGACAAGTGTTAAACTACTGAGAATTACTCTGCTGAAACCTTTGGAAGAAATTCCAGTTTTGCCTTGTGTATTCAGAAAGCCAAAAATGGCTCTTAGGATATTAGAAGCACCTCAAAAATATTTTTGAAGGTAGAAGTCTTATGACAAACAGGAAGAAATTTCAAATGAGAGTGTTAAATAATGGAAACCGCTGGAGTGAGTTACCTGTAAACAAAATGAGAATTTCCATGAACTCTTAGGGCCTGGATTTGGACAAGCAGTTATTTTTTATTAGTTTTCAAGTAAGCCATAAACACTTTGAAATGTTTAACTAAGAATTTATTACTATTTATACCACTTTTCTCGTAATTAAGTGTGTCAGAGGCATAAGTGAACTGCCAGAGGGCCTTAGACCTTGGTGATACAAGGATGACTAACCAGATTTGGCTCTTGATGCAGCTCGCCGAAGTTTTCGGGCTGGAAGAGGAAGAGAATGAAAAGGGACTTGTGTTGTGTTCCTACCACAGCAGGGCTGGGGTACCGTGTTTGTTACCTGAGGCCAGACCCACCTGTGCCACAGAAGTGCTCACTTCGACTAAAACCAGTTCTCTTTAAATTTGGATCAATGCCTGATGTGAACCCTTCTAATTTCAAGTGCTGAGACCAAAACCAATCCATTAGAAGGCCAAACAAGTCAGGATTTGTTGTGATTTTCATCATTTATGTAAGAACATAAACTTGAAATCCAGGCTCTTTGCTGCTGTCAGAATGACCACCTGAATCATCTTTTCTCTCTATTTCGAAATGTCCATTGCTTTTTTTTCTTTTTTTTTTTTACTTCAGTGGGCAGAGCCAGTAAGTTTCTTTCAACGTGGATCAATTCTTAAGTCTGATCCACTGCACCATCACACAGAGAGAAGTACTACCTTAACCAGGGAGGGTAATAGATGAACAGGGAGTTGTAGCAACTTCTTTTGGAACCAAAGAGAAACATGGTGCTCTTTGCAGAGAACATATATATTTCACCAATGCACATTACATCAGTAGGAGTGCTATCTCTGTAATTTTCAGACAGCTGATTCTACATATGAATCTCACAGTTATCTTTTAAATAGATTTTTTTAAGGGGATTGAAAGAATTTTGTGCATTTGAGCTCTAATCTTATGAAACGCTTGCTTAGTTTGTTAAAAAGTTCATGGATTGTCTTGGCATAAACAATGACAGCAAAATGGATATGCTACCTAGCTTAGTTGTCAATTTCTCTTTAATTAGAATCCAGATATCTGAAGATAATAGAGGTAAAACTGACAGAAAAAATAGACTGGTATCCTATTTGAAATAATACTGATACTTACTGATTAATAATTTCACCCCAAGTCTCCTCATGGACCACTCCAATTTCAGCTGATCATTGAATAACCCTACCTCTACTCTTTCATTGCCTGCAAGGAAATAGAGGGTCAAGTGCAGAACTTGCAGAGTGGTCACAGGAAAGTGCAGTAAACCCATAGACACTGTTTTCACAATTTATTTTGTGAATGTGATGAAAGTCAGTAGTAGACAATATTTGCATGCTGCAACAGAATTCTGATCAGTCTAAAGAGAGAACAGATCAGGCAAGAAGTACATTTTAATGAGTATAAAATACAAGACTAATAATTTATTTTACCTATTCTTTTCTCTTCTAAACTAGCAATTCAAGAAAAATATGGACTTCCATTAGCTAACAAACAGAAACAGAAATGGCACACCCTTACAAAGGCAAACATTGAACAATATTGTAAAAGGTAAAAGGTTTGTAAATATTTTTTGAATGTTTATAGTTTTTTTTTTAATTACACATCTGTAGAATTATAAGTATTTTGTAATATCTCCTTCCCTAAACTGTGTCAAGTTGGAAATAAAACTGAGTAGTACGTGTAGTACAAGAGCAAATTGATGATCCTTGTATTGTTATTATTTGCTACTGCCATCACTGGAACCTCTGAAAATCAATACTGCCTAAATTAGTGCTGTGCTAAGGCACTGCCTTGACTTTTGTGGGTTGCATAAGCCAGAAGCACAGGAAGGAATAGCCTTGAGGAGTCCCAGGTCTGGCTTAGCGAGAAGCCTGGCCTAACAGCTGTGAGGCTTTGCAGTACCTCAGCTAGATCTAGTTTGCCTTGTGCCATGTAAACAGTAGGCTTTCTTTATTTGGAAGGGTTGGACATTATTATTGGTGAAGGGGATATCAAATAATATTCCAGGTCCATTGGATAATAAGTTGCAGTAATGTGATAATATTTTACACTCCAACAACGTTTTAATATGGTTTGTTTGTGTTTGTTTTGTTTGCTTTTTTTTTTTTTTTTTTTTTTTTTTTTTTACTTTTTTAGGATTTGTATTAAGAAATTGAAATTTATAAGTACAGAACAGGTATCCCAAGTCATATGCTACTGTCTGGTATGTCCTGCAGTTTGAAATGAGGCGCTTATTGACGCACTAAAACTTAGCAAAGCAAATCAGAGTACACTAGCAGCTAAACTGCAATCACTTCATTAATCACTGCTTGAACAGCACCACAAATGGCTAAAATGATTTGTGAATGTGTACTTAGATACTTGGTATGGTGTTTGTAAGTCATGAGGAAAACTGACAGGATTCAGACTCTTTCCTAATCTACCAGTCAGGTCCCCCCACACGCTGGAGCCAGAACAAACAAAACAAGGGAGAAACTTATAGTTTGGCAAATGACTTGACATTGTATAAATTGCTGCATATTCATTTGTTGCATATTCATTTCATGAGAGAAATTATTTTAATGGGAAAATAATATTCTTACTAGGGAACAATGTAAGGTATCTGAAATGTTTAAAGGATTGACTGGTGACTTCAAGATATATGCATAATGGTATTTTTGTTGCAACAGAAAAAAAAATGCTAACTTAGATCTACTACATGAAAATTTTGTTTCCTGTGCTGAACAATAAATTTTACTTATATAACACCTTCCTCATAACATGTGTATAACATGTACTTCACAGTATTCATAACCATTTACAATTCATTGCCCTTTGTAGAGATCTTTGAACATTTCAGGTGAAAAGTACTAGATTTGTATAAAGCATTTTTTTGTATTTATAGCATGAATATTAAATTTCCCAATAACTGTTTGAGTTGTATTTAAAATTTAAATATATAAAACTTTACTGTTAAAAGTTTTGTGAAAAGGCTGTGTTAAAAAAAGCACACAGAAGAGTTTGTTGTTGAATGTGAGTACACTGTGCCACAGGAATATGGATATCCCAAACAGTTGACATACACTTGTGCCTTGAAAAAGATGTACCTGTAAGGCAGAGTAAGCCAGTGCAGGAATGTGGCCAGCACTAATAGGACATTGAGGAACTACCTCACACAAATGTGAGTGACATCAAACATTCAGATTATGCAGTAAAAGCCAAACATATACGAAGAGTTCATATTTATTAAAAATATTAAGTGAAAAAATATATATTAAAAAAGAATTT